CCATACCCCAAAACGACACTCATATTTAAGATAACACCCCCACATTTAAGCTCCTGTCCCTGTCACTTGCATTTGAAAGCACTTGGTCCTCAGAAGCACCAGGATCAATTCTGTTCCCTCCAACAGCCCAGAAAGGGGGTTTCTTCCTTCCTTTATCTTCTGGGAGTTTCATCCTTATCCTCCCCACAGAGAACTGTCTCCCAGGCTTCCAGCTGCGTCTGTTTCCTCCTGAGTGGTGCTAACCCTCTCTTCAGTTTCCTGCCGGTTTGTGCCTCTCACTATAGCCTTTCTTTGTAGCCCTGTTCCAGATACAAGCAAGCATGGTATCCCTGCTATGAGTTATCCCACCCACCCACTGGTCCATGATCTGCGGGACAGAGGCCCATCCTGGATGCCCCTCCCCACCTCCCACTCAGAAATCCCTAGGAGGCTCACCATTGCCTGGGGCTTCCCCAGCAGTGGAGAGTGGAGCCCTGGTGTTTGGCCGCAGGAGGACTCTGCCTTCTCCCAACATGGAGAAACGTCTTCCTCCTCCACTTGCCTCACTTTAACTTGGTCTCAAACCACCAACCACTATTTTCTTCATTGGTGTTTCATGGCCTTTGTTCTATTAAAATCCCCTCATCTGGGATGAGCAGTATTTGTGCATGCACTTCTTGCCTGGTCTCTGGGTTCTCACAGCTTTGGTCACTAGCTGGTGAAATCCTGAGGGTGTCCTTTAGCTGAGGGTGGGGGACCAGGGTCTCTGAGAAAGCTGGAGCCGGTATCGGGGTCGAGGGGAGGGCTCAACTCCTGGGAGCAGGCATTTCCTCCCTGCTGCTCCCAGAGCAGATCCACTTTGCCCATCAGTTACCATGAATGAAATTCCTTCTATGGATCTGTGTCATCGGCGGAGAGGGGAGGACCCCAGGGATGCTCCCTCATGGCCTCACCACCAGGGACCCCAAAGTCTCAGACCAAGTTCACCTTTCCTATTGATCTTCATTTCCTATTGATCTCAAATACTAATTTGAGACCCAGAATGGACTGTTAATAATATCCCCCTCTCTGCACCATAATATTAGTATCAGTATCTCCATGCAATAATCAGTGATGCACAGTATTTTCTGGTCCACCATAGAAACAACTAAAACAAAAGAAATTGCTGTGTGAAAGATATTATTCAAATTTACTGTTATTCAATCGAAAAAAAAAAAAAAACACGGGGCCACTTCTGCAATGTTACGACCAAACACACACAAGCTGCATGTCAGGAAGAATCGTCAGGTGCACCTGATGTCAGAACCTGACGTCCACATGATACCTGGCTGGCCCCTCCGGAGGGGTCGGGGTCCTGGGAGTTGATCACAGGACAAGGGACAGCCCCAGTCTGAAGGGAAGCAATGAGACAGGACAGCGCCCGGCACCAGAATCCTTTTCTAGAAAGGGTGCTGTGGGGAAGCCTGCGTGGGTCTGAGCCCTGGAGGGCTCTGATGTGTCGGCGTAGGTGTTCTGGTGTTGATGAGTGCCTGTGAACAGAGGAGAAGGCCCTTCTCTGGGAAGGAGGGTCACTAAGGAATTTGGGGCTGTGGGGTGCAAGGTCTTTTTTTTTTTTTTTTGCCATTTTACAGTAATGTTCTCCCAACTTTTCTCCGTGATTTTGTTTTTCAGCAAAGTAGAAAAATTAAACTTCAACAGTAATTGTAGCATTTGCTTAAAACTTAGACACACAAGACTTTTCTGAGCGCATTTTTTTTCACCCATGTTGTTAGAGTTATTAGCTCAAGGCAATAATAAAATGCAGAGCGGGGACCAGCACAGTGGTGCAGCGGGTTAAGCTGCAGCGTACAATGCCAGCATCCCATATAGGCGCTGGTTTGAGTATCAGCTGGTCCACTTCTGATCCAGCTCCCTGCTCATGGCCAGCGGAGGGTAGCCTAAGTGCTTGGGTACATGCATCCAAGTGGGAGACCTGGAAGAAACTCCTGGCTCCTGGCTTCAGCCTGGACCAGCTCTGGCTGTTGCAGCCATTTGTGGAGTAGACCAGTGGATGAAAAACCCTTCCCTCAGTTTCCCTTTTTCTCTGTAATTCAAATGAATAAAATAAATCTGTTTATTAAAAAAAAAAAAGTAGAGGACTTGTAAAGTCATTTTGGTTTTTGCTTTTGCTTTTAAACTCTCCCTAGGCATGGGCATTTAGTGCAGTGTTCAGGGTGCCGTTTGGGGCACCTGAGTCCCACATTGGGGCGCCTGTGAGAGTCCTGGCTCCACTTCTGATTCCAGCTTCCCGCTGATGTGCACCTTGGGAGGCAGATGGTGGTTCAGGGTCACTTGTTTGGGCCCCTGCCACTCACAAGGGAGACCCAGATGGAGTTCCAGGCTCCTGGCATCGACCTGGCTCAGCCCTGGCTGTGGGGGGTATCTGGGGAGTGAACCAGCAGATGGGAGATCTCTCTCCCTGTCTCTCAGATAAAATTAAAAAATGAATAACTACAAATGCAAGAAGTGAATAAAGAACTATACTCTGTACAGCCAGTGAGCTCCCTTGTTGCCTGCGTAGGGAGCAGCAGCAGCACCCCACCCCAGCACACCCTGATTACACTGCTGGATCCGAATCCTCCAGTGAATGGGTGGACTCAGGACACTGGGCCAGTGGAAGGCCTCAGCTAAGACGTCCATGGGGACAGTGACGGGCTGACAGGCTGCAGGGCTGGCAGCTTCATACCCACAGTTCCCATAGGTCACCACTTATTTCAACAGGGGGAGAAAACCTTCGATCCTCCCTCATGCGGACTCGATTCTTCCAAGTCCAACTGTGGCAAAGAATCAGCTGCCTCTGGAGGATGGGATTCTTTAAAAAAAATTATTTATTTATTTGAGAGGTAGAGTTACAGACAGTAAGGTCTTCCATCTGCTGTTCACTTCCTAAATAGTTGTAACAGCTGGAGCCGGGCTGATCTGAAGCCAGGAGCTCCTTCCAGGTCTCCCACGTGAGTGCAGGGGCCCAAGCACTTGGGCCATCTTCTACTTCCTTCCCAGGCCATAGCAGAGAGCTGTAACGGAAGAGGAGCAGCTGGGACTAGAACCGGCGCCCATATCGGATGCCGGGACTAGAACTGGCACCCATATGGGATGCCGGCACTGCAGGTGGAGGATTAACCTACTGCACCATGGCCCCAGGATGGGATTCTTGATTAGAGTGTCGCCATGATCTCTGACTACCTTGGATTATGTTCCAGATCACAGCCAACCCCCTCGCCTCCACACCTCCACTCTCCCAGTGTAGGTTACAGCCAACCAGCACTATACGCATCTCTGTTTTAAAGTCAATGAGAGGCCAGCGCCGCGGCTCACTAGGCTAATCCTCTGCCTTGTGGCGCCGGCACACCAGGTTCTAGTCCCGGTCGGGGCGCCAGATTCTGTCCCGGTTGCCCCTCTTCCAGGCCAGCTCTCTGCTGTGGCCAGGGAGTGCAGTCGAGGATGGCCCAAGTGCTTGGGCCCTGCACCCCATGGGAGACCAGGAGAAGTACCTGGCTCCTGCCATTGGATCAGCATGGTGCGCCGGCCGCAGCGCGCTGGCCGCGGCGGCCATTGGAGGGTGAACCAACGGCAAAGGAAGACCTTTCTCTCTGTCTCTCTCTCTCACTGTCCACTCTGCCTGTCAAAAAAAAAAAAAAAAGTCAATGAGACCTGGAACAGGAGCCCAGAGCCGGAGCCACGTGGCTGCTGGCATGGGCTCCCACCCTGCAGTCAGCTTGCCTTCAGTGATCAGGGGCTGAATGTGGAAGGGCACAGAGTGGCAGACCCTTCTCCTGGGGCTTCTAGAACAAAGTGGTGGAGAAGGACAGGTGACCCTGAGATGGTTATATAAAGCCTCAGGCTAGCAGGAAGGGAACACCCCCGTTCTCTGAGGACGCTCTGCTTGGCACCACAGCTGGATGGGAAGAGCTGTGGGCATCGGTCCTCAGCCCCATCTCCATCTCCGTGGTTGCACAGCTCTCAAAGTCTGCGGGACATGAGAGGCACCCCCCAACCTTGTTACGGTTGTCCAGGCTTCTGGCTCAGGGGCTGTGATTCCCCCAGGCCACACTTAGCACAGAAAAAAAGAGAGAGAGAGAGAGAGAGAGAGCTCCCAGCTCTCCCCAGGTGCCTACCCTGGCCAAGGCTGGACCAGATCAAAGGCAGGAACCAGGAATTCACGCTGCCACCCATGTGGATAGCAGGGACCCAACAGCTTGAGCTACACCTGCTTGCTTTCTCCGTTAGCTGGAAGCTGGAATCAGGAGCCAGTGCAGGGAACTCACAGGACATGGAATTTCTTCTTCTTTCTTCTCTCTTCTCTCTTCTTTCTTCTTTCTTCTTCATTTATTTACTTGAAAGGCAGAGTTACAGAGAGGCAGAGAGAGCAAGAGCGAGGTCTTCCATCCACTGGTTCATTCCCCAAATGGCTTCAATGGCCAAAGCTGGACCAATCCGAAGCCAGGAGCTTCTTCCAGGTCTCCCGCAGGTGCGGGGGCCCAAGCACTTGGGCCATCTTCCACTGCTTTCCCAGGCCATAGCAGAGAGCTGGATCAGAAGTGGAGCAGCCGGGACTCGAACCAGCGCCCATATGGGGAGCCGGCACTGCAGGCGGTGTCTTTACCTGCTATGCCACAGCGCCGGCCCTGACGTGGATGTTCTAATCAGAGTGATAACCGTGAGCCTAAGTGCACACCCCAAAAGTCTGCATCTTTGACAGCTGCCCCTCTAGGAGCAGCTGTGTGGGCCTGGGTCCACACAGGCCAGCTCTACCCCTTCTGCCACATGGGCGAGACGCTGGGGCTCTCTGGCTCCAGTTTCACCCCCGTATGCAGGGTCTCTGTGAGGATCAAATGCCATGGAGGGGGAAGCCTTTTACACACTGTGCAACTCTGCGAGGTCAGAGGATCGGACCCTGCTCTGGCACTGACCCCGGCGGAGTGCCCGTGGATGTCACAGGCGAGCCCCAGCATGCTAAGAAAGACCTTGTGCTCTCCCCGCAGCCTTTAGCACAGCCAAGTGTGAGAAACTACAAAAGGAGAAGGAGGACCTGGAGCGGCGGTTCGAGGACGAGGTGCGCCGGCTGGGCTGGCGCCAACAGGCCGAGCTCCAGGAGCTGGAGCAGCGGCTGCAGCTGCAGTTCGAGACGGAGATGGCGCGCCTGCAGGAGGAGCACCACGGCCAGCTGCTGAGGATCCGATGCCAGCACCAGGAGCAGGTCAGTGGGCGGCGCCTGTGATGGAGGAGGCAGGCGGGGGGAGGGGGCAGCCCAGGCCTCATTGCAGGAAGCCCTGCTCAGTAGCAGAGCTCTTCGTCAAGGTCATTCCGTGACCTCAGTCCTTGTTCTCTGCCCTCCTCCCCTTCCCTCCACTCTCTCTGGCCTCCCTTGCTCTCCTCGGAGCCCTGGATGCCCCGGATCAGGAACGCTTTTCCTCCAGGCACTGCCTGCCTGCCCTCAAGGCTTTACTCCAAGGTTTCAGGGAGGTCTTTCTGTATCTTCCTTATCACACTCCCCCCCACCCCCTCCAGTCCCTTGTTGCCTTCTAGCATGTTCCACATTTTACTTGAGGGCTGTCTTTATCGTCATCCTCATGTTCTTTGGGGGCAGAGGTCGATAACGTGTGAACACGCACTGGCACCGCTTTCAACTCCTTCCGTGCCCTGACTCATGAAATCCTCACACTCACCCTTCCAGGTGAGGTCCATTCCTAGCCCCATTTTACAGATGAGAACATCGAGTCCCTGAAGCTAAATACTTTGCCAGGATTCACAGGGCTGCCCTGGGAAAAGCTTTGGTCTCCTTAGCATAGGCCTAAGGGAAGCAGGCAGCTGTAAAGAGTGCTCTTCTCAGCTCAGAAGACCCAAGTTAGTGCTGGGGGGGTGGGGGGCTCGTTATCGTGGACATTTGGGTCACCCTACACCCCGGGGCATCATGACTCACAGGGACACAGGAGAAATTTCAGAGTAACAAGTACTGTTGATGTTATAATAAAAAAAAAGTCTGACTTGCTTGCATTTCAGTCTATGCAGTAAGCATCTCTGATTAGTCATTCACTTTCTCTAGAGCCCCATGAACACCAGACACACCTGCCTGCTTGAGATCACTTAGAACTGGAGACTGGGGACTAGGAGAGGCTACAGCCGAGGGTACCTGCTGCTGTTAAGATTAGAGACAGAGCCCCCAGCACTGCGCCTCCCGTGCTCTCTACATGTGCATGTTTGCTCCTGCTGCTGTCTGGCTTCACCTGCTTCCTGGAGCCTTTATACCCATGCCGACCTCACACCTGGCACAAACACAAATGTGCTCTTTGTCTCTGGACCCCTGGACTGTCTGTTCCCAATTTTAGGCAGAAGACATGTTTATATCTGTATTTACCAAAAACCTCAGGGCAGAAAGTCTAGTCCAGTCCAGAAGATGCCAGGAGTGGGGAAGGCGGGGTGGGGATGATCTGCTGGCGAGAGGACACGTGGCAGAGGCGCCTCCTGAACCAAGGCTCATGTGGTGGTGCCGCGGAGTTGAGGCCACGTGGTGGCGCCATGGAGTCGAGGCCACTGCCGAGTGGCGCGTGTGCATTGGTGGAGCACAGCCTAGGGCCAGAGAGCCCCAGCAAGATCTCACCTGTGCAGAAGCACCTGCTGGGAGATACGCTCTCACCCCTCCTTTGAGCCTGTTGGGGATTGCAAAAGTGGGAGGGCTTAGAAGGAAAGAAGTCCCGAGGTTCCCATTTGAGAATGAGTCCCGTACTCTGCCTGTGTGCGGTCAGGCGCCACGTGGTGAAATCTGATCAACAGCAGACCCCAGAAATGGCGGCGGTCCCTCCCCTGAGGTGACATCACCCAGTTACATCGAGGCATCTTACTTGGTGTGATTGAGCTCTGTGGTTCTTACGGTGGCAGGATCGCCCAGAGACACAGTTCTTAGGACGCACCCCTGTCATTGAGTCACACGTGACTGCAGTTAAAAGGTGCCCAGTCTCCCGAGGGCTCAGAGTTCCGCTCCTCTTGATCCATTACGTTGGCTAAAGCTGCTCATTTCTTTACTCCTTCCTCTACAGGACACCGGGACAGAGAGCAAGGATTGTAAAAGGATCATAAGATGCTTATTCCATGGGGGGAATTCAGAGGTGCCCAGGAAACTTAAAACAGGACAGGGGGAGGTTTAGGAGTTGGGCACTGACTTCCGGCGATGAGAGAAGTGATGGCGGAAATCGCATCAGGGTGCGTTACACCTGACTGAGCCTCTGCTGTGGACATCCAGGGGTTTGTGGGAGACCGAGGAGTCAGATCTGCGAGTCCTTTGCACTGTGCGCCAGGCGACGCCCCTACCGACCTTCGGAGGGAGGAAGAGGAGGAAACCGCGCTTCGTTGAACGTTCTGATGTCCAGACAGAGATGTGCTCATGGGCTCACAGGGACAGCTGAAATGGAGATGCAGGCAACCTATGGTTCACTTACTCCAGACTGGACTGCCTCCCTTCCCAGGGTTGGTCGCAGGAGCAGTGACATCTCTGACCTTCTGGAACCTGAAAAATCAGGTGTTCCAGTCTGGCCGCTCCCTGTGACCCGGGGCCCAGGTCAGCAGCAGGGTGGGGGCAGGGCGATGCATCAGTTCTGACTCTCAGGACCTGCTGAGGCTGCAGGCGTCACCCTCCGCTCACACTGGGGCTTGCTCAGGAAGGCAGCCTCCCCTCTGGCTTCGCTGCAGGAGCCCATGATGACAACACCTGCCAGATCTTCCTCTCGCCCAAGGGACAGGGCTGTGTCTCTGTGCGTGGTCCCTGCCCTGGCTACACATTGGGATCACTTGGGAGATGTGGCAAGAGATCGAGGAACTCATGAACGGAATGCAGTTGCTGGCTAGGGCCTGGCCTGGGGCTGCTTTCAAAGCTCCCCGGATGATCCACGTGCAGGTGTGAGCGTCCGGGAGGTACAAGGCCTTGTTCCTGAACCCAGCAGGCGCCCGTTAGGAATCTGAGCAATCCTAAGGTGAGGAGGGGTCTTTCCTTCTTAATGAGACATAAAGAGATGGCAGAACTCCTATTTTAAAAGTATGACGGGGCTGGCGCTGTGACTCAGTGGGTTAAAGCCCTGGCCTAAAGCACCAGCACCCCATATGGGCTCTGGTTCTAGTCCCAGCTGCTCCTCTTCTGATCCAGCTCTCTGCTATGGCCTAGGATAGCAGTAGAAGATGGCCCAAGTCCTTGGGGCCCTGCACCTGTGTGGGAGACCCAGAAGAGGTTCCTGGCTCCTGGCTTTGGATCGGTACAGCCATGGCCATTACAGCCTTCTGGGGAGTGAACCAACGGATGGAAGACCTCTCTCTCTCTCTCTCTCTCTCTCTCTCTCTCTGCCTCTCCTCTATGTAACTCTGACTTTCAAATAAATAAAATAAATCTTTAAAAAAATTTTTAAAAAGTATGACGATAAAGGTATTTAACCAAGATCATGCTTGTTCTATATCAAGCTACCTGTTAACAGAAGCCAATTGCCACAGCTTCCGTTTCTCAGACCATGCAAAACAGATTTTCCCTGGACTCACACGTGCTTTGTCGTGTTTGCCACAAATACGGTTCCTTGCAGCCCAGCTTCTGTTCCTCCTTTCTGGCTGCCTTTGGCTGTTCCGCAGGCGTGAGCAGCCACAGAGCTGGGTTTCAAGGATCGGTCTTCTCCCGGGTCTGGCCCTGAAGTCACTCCCTCTGCCTCATCCGCTATGAATACATTACATGTCTGGGATGGGGCCAAATAGGAGCGTAATCTGGTTTGGGTTGAATGAACATGGAAGAGACAGCGCAGAGCCCAGGCGTCTCCGTCCAAAATGTGCGTCTTCTCCAGGGGGAGCTGTCAGCGCTCCAGGTGGTTGCATTTTGCAGATGGCTACGTGAAGTCGATCCTGCAGCTCCGTTCTGTCCTCCCAGAGGTGGTGGCTATTCCAACCCTTCGCCGCACTGTAACTCAGCCGGGCTGCATGGCAGGCAGCTGTGGGAACGGAGTCCCGTCTCGGCAACAGCTGCCTTCCCAAGCAACAAGGACTGTTTAGTGGGCATCTCAACAGCCTCCTCCGTGGCACGGCCCAGAAAGCTGTCCGGCGGTGGCCCAGCAGGTGTCTAAGGAGCCCCATTCAGGCTTCTAGAAGGAGGAGGAGGATGCCTGGGCCAGTATAAGCTTGCCGGGGGCCATTCACGTCCTAGTGACTTTTGTCTCCGTATAGTGATGGACCCTGCAGAAAATGAACTTGTGTCTCCTGTGCCTTGTTTTGTGTAAGTTCCACCCCCACCGAATGCCTTTTCTGAAGGTTTCAAGGCCTTCTCTGGTCTGCAGTTCTTACTGGCCACTTCCCAAACATGAACTGGTGCTCTGGGAAGAAGCCAGGAGCCGGGGGAGGCGATGTCATAGGGGATTAATGCTGCCACAGGGGAGACTGGCTGACGGCACACAGACCTTCCCCGTGGAGGATGGAGGATGCCTTCTTCAAAACCTTGAAGATGCGGGAAACCTAATGTACCGCAGAGGAAGGAATTATTGCCTTCTAATGTTGGCCCATGGGCTCTCACTGGTTTCCTTCCAAACCTGCTAGAACATTCTTCTCATGCCACGTGGTTTGGGGGTCAGGGGAGACCAGTGTTCCACTCACTAACGGACCCCTGAGAGGGGTTGTGTGTAGATCATGCCCTTACTCATCCTTGATTCCTTAGACAGAATCAGGCCTGCTTCCCAACAAAACAGAAGGGCAGAGACTCCAGCTGCAAACGGATACAGTATCCCCACCTCCCCTGGATTCTTCTCGAACTTGGCCCAAGATTTTCCATGACACAAAACTGCGCCGTACCTCAAATAATGAGTGTTTCCACACATGGTGTGTTATGGATGAGTCTACCTGGTATCATGGAGGATTTTTTTTTAATCAGTGATTTATTTTTCCAAAAAATGGAAAGGCTTTGGACAAAGATTCTATTTAGACCTCAGACAAACAAGAACGGAACAACTAAATACTGTTGTCGTCTTCCTTTTTTTCAAATGGATTCATAGTTCTGAGACTCACATGAGAAACAATTTTTTAATACAGAATGGCCAGTAATTAAGAGTGAGTCTGAGGACCTGCACTGTGGTGTAGCAGGTAAAGCTGCCGCCTGCAGTGCCAGCATCCCAGATGGGTGCTGGTTCTAGTCCTGGCTGCTCCACTTCTGATCCAGCTCTCTGCTATGGCCTGGGAAAGCAGTAGAAAATGGCCCACATCCTTGGGCCCCTGCACCCGTGTGGGAGACCCGGAAGAAGCTCCTGGTTCCTGGCTTCAGAATGGCATAGCTCCGGCTGTTGCAGCCATCTGGGAAGTGAACCAGCAGATGGAAGACCTCTCTCTCTCTCTCTCTGCCTTTGCCTCTCTGTAACTCTGCCTTACAAATAAATAAACAAACCTTTAAAAAAAAAAAAAAAAGAGTGAGTCTGTCTTCAGAGTGGCGTGCAGCTTTCCTGACTGAGGCTGAGCACCTCGTTGGGTTTTTTGAATTTTATTCCTGCGTTAGTGGATAAAAGTCACGTGACCTTAGGAGAAAATCAGACTTTTTTTTTTTTTTTTTTGCATGAAATGATCGGATCCAAAATGGGATTCTGGGATTCTCGCCACTTTGAAATAAGAAGGCCCACGTGTGTATTTCATGGGCAGCTTTCCTTTCTTGCCCCAGATCGAAGGCTGGGCTGGGAGGTGCCCCCAGGGACTCAGCTGAGGTTCTCTCGGCGAGTATCTGTTAGAAGCAGTGGGTTCCTAACTCCCACAGCAGAGAACTTCAAGACCTGGGCACATTTTCTGGTTCCGTGTTTTCCAGCTAGCAGATTTTGACCCATCAGTAGATCATGAAATAAATATAGTGGCTTGTAACTGAAGAACAAGGTAAAATAGAACTGTACAGAAGTGTTCAAACCAGATTATTGCAAAGAGGAAGGGTTGGTATCATTGTGTGAAACTTTGGTGTGGAGGGTGCTGGTGTGTGTGTCCCAAGTGACAGTGTACAGGGGTATTTTTTTACAGTGAGTCGTTGACAAAGAATCTGGATAGACGCTGTTGGGGTTTGTCCAGCAGAGGTTTGCTGTCATAGGGAAAAGCACCCCCCAAGTCACGCCTTTGAATATGAGCAAAATGATGGGCGCGATAATAAAACACAGAACCTGGTCGGCAGGAGGGTGGGTGGAGGGAGTGGCTGGAGGAATCAGGAAGTGTGAGAACCAAGCCCTGCACTGGCTGTGTGATGTGTGAGAGAGGCCCTGGAAGTGCAGCGGCAGCCCCGCCCAGGGGCAGCTCCCAGAGGCCCCGCCCAGGGGCAGCTCCCAGAGGCCCCGCCCAGGAGCTGTTCCAGAGGCCCCGCCCAGGGGCAGCGCCCCGTGACCACCCCCCGCCCTGCCCAGGAGCAACTCCCCATGCCCGTGAACACCACCACCACCACCACCGCCCAGGAACAGCTCCCCTGACCCCCGCCAGAGGTCCAAATTGCAGTCAGGGAGGAACTGTGTGCAGCTGGCACAGGCAGGCTGCCGTCGTTTCCCTAGTGCTGGGAAGAGGACCCTCAGGTTCTGCTTGTTGCTGTTGGTGGGGGAGGCAACAGTGTTACTTATTTTTTAGTTTTTGCTTATTTGAGAGGCAGAGAGAGCGCTTCGGTGCGCCGGTGTTCTCCCTAAAACCCAGGATCTGGAAACCCAATCTGGATCTCTCGTGGTGCTGGCTCAATCACTTGAGCCATTCCTGCTGCCTGCCACCCTCCCCCCTGCCCCGCCTGGATCTGCATTAACGTGAAGCTGTCATTAGGAGCAGTGCTGAGAATTGAACCTGGGTACTCTCACATGCAAGGGGGCTGCCTTAATCCCTAAGCTAGATCCGCACACTGTTGCATTTGAGAGAGCTTCCTCTTTGGGGTCAGACAGACCTGCGACCCCTGCCAGCTCTGGGGTTTACTAGCTCTTGGAAAAAGCATTTCAAATCTCTCTAAGCTTCAGTTTTCTCATCTGTAAAATGGGCACACCTCATAAGTGTGCTCTGAGAGTTAAGTGGAGTAAGGTATAACAGGTGGCTTCACAGAGGCCAGTTTTCCCGGGACATGTGTGCTGTGGACCCTGCCGCTGCTGGGGGACACGGAACAGACCACCTCGTAGGAAGGACCCTTTTCCTTCTCCATCACTGCCTCATGGAGCGATTGGCACAAGGAGAAGGAATGGGAGGGAGAGGAAAACGGTCCAGGGCCCAGGAACAGGGCTCCCCACGGGTGCCTCAGCAGCCACCACCCTCCTGGAACCCCATCCTCCTGCAAAGAGCCAGGTGGTAGCAGTGACTTCAGTGATGCTGGGACTGCCTTGTCCCCAGCTGATCCTGCCCCTCCTGGCTGGGCAGTGGGCTGAGGGTGACCGGCGTCTCAGCAGAAAGACCTGCCCTTGACACTTGGGCCACTAACATTTCCCTCCCGTTGCATTGCCTTCTGTTCCCCGAGCGGCAAGGCTGTGGCTCACACCCGCTCCCAAACTCTCTGCAGAACCAGTAACTGTGGCTCCCCCTCAGGTGGAGGACATCACCGCCAGCCACGAGGCCGCTCTCCTGGAGATGGAAAGTAACCACACTGTGGCCATCGCCATCCTGCAAGATGACCACGACCACAAAGTGCAAGGTACCCACTGCCAGCCTGGTGCCCAGTGGGTGGGGCGGGGGCGGAGCTTCCAGGCCCAGCCTTTCCCGCTGCAGGGACAAGGAGCTCTGTTCCTCCTGTGCACCCCTTCCTTCCTGGTGCATCCTGGGGTCGGTTGCCCTGCAAGGAAGGAATAGAAGCCAAGGATTCAGGTCATGGGTTCTTCCCTCCCAAGCAGTCACACTCAACCTTGCCTGAATATTAGGATCATCTTGGTGGGGCGCAGAACCCAAAGGTCAACTCCAGCCACAGTCCCATCCTCAGGGTGTGGGCATGGTTGGTTGGAGCTACAGCCCAGGCGTCACGTTAGGACTGGTTAAAGCTCCTTGGGACAAGGATGTGGAGCCAAGCTTGAGACAACTCTTCCGAAGTAGACCTAGACATCGTGGGCGTGACCCTGTTTGCTGGGCTCATAAAAGTGACAGGAGCGCCCAGCGTGGCTGCGCCTGTCTCACATGCGTGTTTGTCTCAGGTCATGGCAGCACCTCCAGTGTGCACAGCCCCTGCTCCGGGACCACACTCGCCACCAGTGCAAGTTGAGTCTCTGGTTGGCCTTCTAGTAACTTTGCGGTCTCTTTGCATCCTTGGGGTTTTATGAGGGCCACAGCAGCATAAGCAAGTTCCAGTGTGAGGTTTCCCACTGTGAAAAAAGCAGAATGTGTTCCCATGCATTTCCATGCATATGGACAATTTACTTCTCAATTTCTCCTTACTTCTGCCCCCAGTCAGCGGCTGTTCATGGATGCGCTTGTCTCCATCTAAGCCCAGCCCCACTGCCCCTAGGAGTGGGTGGTGTGTGCAAAAGTCCATTCTGGAGGCAAGGGCAGCCGTTTCCCAAGAACTGGTTGAGTGCATTACCTGTGTCCTATTAGGGTATCTCACACAGAGACTTCTAGTCCCCACTCTCACCTGCACATTGGAGCCAGGTGAAGTGTTTTGTTTTTTTTTTGAATACTGATGTGCAAGTCCCCTTTATGGATTTCAGATTACTTGCTCTGGGGTACAATCAAGTCATCAAGTTTTTTTTTTTTAAAGATTATTTATTTATTTATTTATTTGAGAGGTAGAGTTACAGGACAGTGAGAGGGAGAGACAGAGAGAAAGGTCTTCCTTCCATTGGTTTACTCTCCAAATGGCTGCAACAGCTGGATCCAAAGCCAGGAGCCAGGTGCTTCTTCCTGGTCTCCCACAGTAGGTGCAGGGGCCCAAGGACTTGGGCCATCTTCTACTGCTTTCCCAGGCCATAGCAGAGAGCTGGATTGGAAGAGGAGCAACTGGGACTAGAACCGGCGCTCATATGGGATGCCGGCCCTGCATCAGGATTTTTTTTTTAAACACCCTAGGATCTAGATGATTCTAACATACAACAAAAGGTGAGAAACATGATCTTTCATATTTATTTATCTGAGAGACATCCAGCAATGCTCACAATGGCCTGGGGTGGGCCAGGCCACTGCTGGGAGCCAGGAACACCATGGAGTTCTCCCACATGAGTGACAGGAACCCACACGCCTGGAGCATCACTGTTGCCTCCCAGAGGCCGCATCACAAGGAGGCTGGAGTCAGCAGTGGAGGGGAGGATGAAACCCGTACACTCTGAAGTGGGGTGCAGTCAGCTCGGGCAGCATCCTCACCACCAGGCCACGTGCCCGACCCCCGGGCAGCTTTTATTTCTAGTTACGTATTTGACCCCGGCCCCCGCCCATGCCTAGCCCGATTAGACTTTGGGTCTGTGGGTTCTCAGAGTGTGGCTGAGGCCACCAGGGTGAAACCACAGCTGCTGGCCTGGCCGCCTCATCCGTGCTCCAGCCACTCTGCTGAACATGTAAGCCACTTCTGATGCCCAAGCCAACGGGCTGCTGGGCATGGTGGTGTGGTGGTGTGGTCATGGGGCATGAGAGAGTGAACCTGGGAGGGGAGGGATATGGGAACTGAACCCTCACTGCACAGGCGGTTTATGTTAGGAAAAGGGCAGAGAATCTGCGGGTGCCTGAGGGAAGGCTCTGAGTTGGCCATGATGGTGGAACAGTAGGGATAGGGGTGTGTGTGTCTGTGTATGTGTGTGTAGGGTTTGTGTATGTGGTATGTAGATCATGTGGGGTATGTGTGTTGTGTGGTATGGGTAGTGTGCCTGTGATGTGTATGGTATGTGGGGGGTGTGATGTGTATGGTATATGTGTGGCATGTGTGTGATGTATGTTCATATATGTGTGGTATATGTGGTATTAGATGTGTGTATATGTGTGCTGTGTGTTTGTGTATGTGGCATGTACATAATGTGTGCGTGTACCTGTGGTGTATGGATATGTGTGATAATGTGGGTAGGCATTTATGTGCACTGTGCATAAACAAAGTGTGTGTATGTGTGTTTTGTGTGGTGTGTGCAGTCTATGTGCAGTGTGTGTGATGTGTATATCTGTGATGTGTCTGTGGTGGGCATACCTGTGTGATATGTGGATGGTCTGTATGTATCTGGTGTATAGATGTGTCTGTGTGTAGTGTGTGTTGTATTTGTGTCTGTGTATAGTGTGTGTGTCTGTGTGTAGTATGTGTATCTGTGTGTATACGTTATGTGTGTATAGTGTGTCTTTTGTGTTTTGTGTGTGTGGTGTCTGTGCGTGGTATGGATGTGTCTGTATGTGATGTATGTATCTGTGGTGTATGTATTCTGTGTGTGGTTTGTGATGTGTGTGCTGTGTATGTGTGGTGTATTCTGTGTCTGTGTGTGGTGTCTGTGTATGTGATTTGTAGTGTGTGTATGTGGTATGTATCTTTGTGTGTTGTGTCTGTGTGTGGTGTGCATATCTGTGGGCTTTTGTGGTATATGTGTATCTGTGTGTCTTTGTGTGTTGTCTGTGTGTGGTATGTGTATCTGTGAGTTGTGTAGTATATGTGTGTTTGTTTGCAGTGTGTCTGCAGTGTGTGTCTGCTATCTGTGGGTTGTGTGGTACATGTGTGTCTGTAGTGTGTGTGTATATCTGCAGCGCTGTGTATGGTGTATGCTGTCTGCAGATTGTGCGGTATATGTGTGTGTTTGTAGTGTGTGTGTGTGTGTGTGTCCGCAGTGTGTCTGTGTGTTCTGTTTCCCTGCCTCTTCTCTCTCTCCTTCTCTCTCCCTCTCCTCTGCTCCGTTTTTCTTTCTCCTGTATAACAAGCTGGCCACCACTTCCAATTTCCAACTGGTAGAGTTTCTGTAGGCTTGAGTTTCTTGATTCAGGACCCTGAAGGTTCTCAGTCCGCCGACAGAGTCCGGCTTTGTCTCGCCCAGAAGAAAGACTGACTGAGCATTTGGTGTCTTCTCTGCAGAGCTGATGTCTGCCCACGAGCTGGAGAAGAAGGAGTTGGAGGAAAATTTTGAAAAGCTGCGGCTATCATTGCAGGTTAGCGTCCCCCCATCCTCTCCCCTGAGCCCGGGTGACGGCAGATCCCCAGCCCCCTGCGCAGCCGTTTTGCTCTGGGTGCTGATCTGGACAAGCCTGGGAGGCAGAGGTGAGAACTCCTCCCCACCCGGGAGCAGTCTGCTGTCTGCGACACAGACACGGTGACACAAGGTGACTCACCTGCCCCAGATGAATGATACGGTGCTGAGCGGGGCAGAGCCTCAGAGGGCCGGCTGTGCACCTGCAGTGGTCGGAGCGACTGAGCCGTGTTTGAAGAAGGGAAGGATGTGGAGCAGAGAACATTCAGGCGGGGCTGAGGGCGGAGGTCCCAGAACAGACTAGGAGTTGCAGAACGGACTTTGGTCACCTGCATGGGGGGTGGGATGAGAAAACGCTCTGTGCTTCAGGGGCACCTGAAGGAAACGGTGGTCTCGGGCGGTAGAGGAGGGCCTGCCTCCCTGCTGGCCTCTGAAGGGAGGGGCAGCGCCTCCCCCGGGCCCTCCCAGGCCCCTGCCTTCTGTGCAGAGCACGGCCCAGGCCCCAGGACGGAGGAGCCTGGGAAGGCAGGCCAGGTCGGTGGCCCCACCTCTGTTTCCCATAGCAGAAGTTCTGGTCACAACGAGAGTCTTTTTTTAAATACTGGGGACGCTCACCACTGGAGGGTATTTCAGAAAGCTCAAGGAAAATGGAAGTAAAAGGTAGGTTTATTTTGCTGTGAACCACATCTGAGATCCATGCATCGTTTTTTCATAATGTGCCTTTTCCTTGGCCTTTTCTGGAAACCTGTTGCACTGTCAAATATGAGAACAGGCAGGAATTTTACTTCTTTCGTGGCGCACTGTCCCCTGGCATTGTGCATTCCCAGAGCCTGCCCTGTCCAGGAAAGGACCCCTGGCTGGAGGGATACCTGGTGCTACAGCTACCAACTGCACCTGCTGCATGTCTGAAAATAGGCCACTTGCGGCCCTGGCCCACCACCATGCCGTCCACGCATGGCCAGGCCTGCAATGCCCCAGGACCACCCTCTGCAAATCAACCCCAAGCTACCTTCCTTGCGCGTGCACCCACGTCTGGCACCAAACACCGCCCAGCCCCTGACCCAGGAAGGTGGTAGCCCCACAGCGATGTAACAGAAACTCCACCCAAGCCCAAACCAAAAGAAGCCAGAGTCTTGTTCCTTTCTGAGGCTGCACTATGCCGTGAGCCCCCCACGTTGCCGTGAGCTCTGCCTGCAGCAGAATACACCTGCACTGAAAGTTATTTGGTGCAAGGACGGTGGATCTGCACAAGCCAGCTTCCCCAGGCTCCTGGCAGCTGGAGGAACCCATGTGGTGCTTAGAGATTGAACCGTTGACCTTAAATCCCTACAGTGCCTCCTGTTGGAGATCTTAGGCAGGTAGGTAACCCCTGTACGCCTCAGTTTGCTCATCTTTAAATGAGGATAGCTCAAAGGGTGAGCAGATTAAGGGGAATCATGAATGAAAGGCATATAGGTGATGGCTGTTGCTAATTAATAGAGCCTCTGGGGTTTTTCTGGTTGTTTGTACTATCACCATCCTCATCCTCATCCTCACCATCATCGTGCCACTCATGGACTGCTGAGTGGCCCCCACTGGCCGAGGCTGCCAGCTGGATCTCTGTGCCTCTTAGTCTGACAAGTAGAAAACGAGCCTGTTCTGATGGCCACAGCACTGTCCTGTGCCCTGTGACTGCTCTGAGCGACTCTGTTTGGATAGCAGTGAACGAAGCGAGAAGACTCAGCTTGGTGCCATGGATCCATCGCGGGCGGTGGAGGCCTGCTGAGATTTCCTTGTCTGCTTTTTAATGCTGGGGAAGAGACTCAAAGTCTTCCTCGTCTAGACAGCACTGATGAGGTTGGGCGTAGGAGCCACGCAGGACACGGTTGAGTGGATGGCCACGTTCGGAACGTGGCTGCAGCCTCACTGGGGCCGTGATTTCCATGCGCCAAAGCTGTTGTGTTTAATGGCACTGTGGGGACTTTTATTTCTTAAAACTGAAATGGAAGTAGTTAGAAGGTGGAGGAGGAGCGGGGGAGGAGGAGCCGGCCCTGGGGGGTTTGCAGAGTTCTCTGCCAGAAAGCGGTGCAGCCAGGCTTCATAACGCCAGTGCTGCCATGTGGAGTCCCAGAAGTCACAGCGCCCTCTCCTGCTCTTCCGTGGGATGAGGCGCGTGGTTCCTGGGGTCCCCCAGCCCCTGTGTGTGACGGAGATGGTGGTGGTGGGTGGGGAAGCCGGGGGCTTGTGGCGTACATGAAGCATGTGGGAGTGACGCTTTCCCTGGGCGTCAGGGGAAGTCACTGTGGAGCATCCTTTGCCTGCCAGGTGATGCGAGTCCTGGCTGCGGTTGAGGGGAGGGCTCAGCACAGCTCTGTCTGCCCTGGGCCGGGGACGGGGCTCAGGGTCGGGGTCTGGGCAGGTGCACCTTCAGCCCTTTAACCTCATGTACGGGGCTGCCCTGTTGCTGGCACCAGCAGGCAGAGGGTCTGACAGGGAGGATGGGACCGTGGCTTGGCTCCTATTGGGGATTTGTCACCAGCCCTGAAGCTAGAGGAAGCTGGCAGAGGGAGGCAGAGCCAACCGGAAGTGCTGGGGTGTGGGAACCAAGACTGGAGAGGGGAGACCACCTCAGAGGCTAAACAGAAGAGTGTGCATGGCACCCAAGGGCACTGGGGGGTCTAGTGAGGGTCACTGGGGTCAGGTTTTCCTGTTCCTTGGAAAGAGGAGCCCGGATGCAGCTTGGGGCCAGCAGAGCATCGCGCAGTGCTGGGCTGGGAAAGAGCCAGCAGGGGGCCTGAGCCCAGGGAGGGGAGGGGACCCCGGGGTCAATCCCAGCTTCCTGGGACACGAAGGAGGCAGGATTTGATCACTGGCTCCTAACTGGGGAGGGATCCCCAGGCAGAGAAAGGAGCAGGACGGGGAGAAGATTCCTCGCTGAGAGCTGGTTTTCCTTGCCCCTGAGTAGCTGCGGTTCTGCAGTCAGGGCTGATGCTCCTGGGCTGGCCAGCTCCGTCCTGATTGTCTGCATCGCTCAGCTGGGCCTAAGAATTCCCCCATCAGCACTTCTATGTCTGCTCTGGACACCGCACCAAGGAGGGGCCAGCTAGGGTGTGTTGGGGGCATCTCTCCCCACCACGCAGATGGGGACCCCCCACCACGACCCATGGGAGACCCTCTCTCTGAAGAGCCCCAGGGCGAGCTGGCTGGCCCTGACACCCCAGCTGCCCAGGCGGGGCCGGGTGTGCACAGAGGCCCCCATCGGGCACCTCATGGCATTCCTTGCAGGACCAGGTGGACACGCTGACCTTCCAGAGCCAGTCCCTGCGAGACCGTGCCCGGCGCTTCGAGGAGGCTCTGAGGAAAAACACGGAGCAGCAGCTGGAGGTATTCCAGGTTCCCCCGGCCTCCCAGCCCCACTGTGGCCAGGGCCTCCTCAGCCCTAGACAGCTGGCCACGCCCTCCCCACACAACTGCTGTCACCACTTGTGCCCAGGACACACCAAAGCTGTGGCTTCTCCCGCTACCCCAGACCCCTGAGCTCCTGGCCTAAGCAGAGTCTGGAAGGTTCACCATGGCCTCAGCTGCCTCCATCCCACTCCCTCCCAGCTTCCCTTAAAGCTGCTCAGGGCAGCAGTGGCACTGGCTTCAGCGTGATTTGTGGGTGGAGGGGTTTCTTCCATTAAAGCTGGCAAAAAGTCCTTCCCCTAGTGCCAGGTTGCTGGGTAAAACACATGACCCCCAGGTCAACTTGAAATACAGATAAGTGAGTTTTCGAGGATAAGTATATGCCAGGCGATACTTATACTAAAGTTTCTTATCTGAAATTCACAGATAATGAGAGGTCCCGTGCTTGTATTTGCTACATCTGGCAACCCTGCCGCACCAAGTCTTTCTCTAAAATGACTTTTCTGCTTTCTTAACTACCTTGCTCATGTCCTATGCATGGGGCAGGGTCTTTCTACTGGCATGAGGGGGCGGGGGGGTCCTGCAAGATCACTCGCTCCCTGGTGAATCAAGCGTCTGGGTGGGTGTTACTCTTGCATCTTCTTGATTTTTTATTTATGTAAGAAGGAGAGAAACAGGCAGAGCTCCTGGCCAACTAGTTCATTCCCCAAATGCCCGCAGTGGCCAAAGCTGAGAGCTGAGAACTCAAGCCAAGTCTCCCACGCTGGCGGCTCCCCCTCTCTCCCTCTCTCCCCCTCTCCCTCTCTCTCCCTCCCTCCCTCCCTCCCTCCCCTCTTCCTTGGTGTTGCAGCTGCCCATTGGGAAGCTTGCTAGTGATGGCCAGATTTACCCAGATTCAAAATGTGAGCTTCTGCCTGGACGTGAAGTGTGGCGGCAGAGTGACTAAGCAAATGCATCCTGTTCTCCTGCAGATGGGTAGGATCTTAGTAGCTGAGTGACGCCCATCCCATGGTGGGTGCACTGGCAATTTGTTCCCGGGACTGGGAGGAAACGGCTCATTCGTTAGCCAGGATCGTCCGCTTCCCATGGGAGAGCCGACAATGACCGCTGGGCGTGACCCCTTATTGGTCGTCGGCGGCACTGGGCCCTCCCCAGACCTGCAGACGCACGGTGTGGGTTAGTACTGGGCTTTGCCAGGACCCGGCATGCAGCTCGTTGCTCCGCCTGCCCCTGTAGATCGCCCTGGCCCCGTATCAGCACTTGGAAGAGGACATGCAGAGCCTGAAGCAGGTGTTAGAGATGAAGAATCAGCAGATCCACCAGCAGGAGAAGAAGATTCTTGAGCTGGAAAAGCTGGTGAGCTGGTGTTTGCCCAGGGGAGTGGGGGCCACGGGGCCCTGTCCCTGGTGCAGACACCTCTGACTGTTATTAGAGGCAAACCGGGGTATAAGTGTCTGCCTCCAGCACCCTGGGTGACATGGGCCTCCTGGCACCTTTCAGACCCTCCCGGGATGGCCAGTCCTGATCAGACACAGAGCCTGCTCATCCTGCCCTCACCACACTACCCTCTGAGAGCAACCAGCCATCCCCCTCCCCCTCCAGGCTGGCCGGCTGCACCCAGTCACCCACAGCCTCCAGCTTACTGGACTGTTGGAGGCCATGCTCCAAGCCTTCTGAAGGCAGGAGTTATTTTTCATCCAAGCAACCCTTGTAGGGCAAAAGAGAACCTGTTTGTCCACTTCTCACTTGCTGGAAGTGAGATTAAATATATGAACAGTGAATGTGTCACAGTCTTTTCAAACTATTTTTGTTTGCTTTTTTTGTTTGAGAGAGAAAGCCCATTCGCTGGTTAACTCACGCAATGCCTGCAACACCTGGGACTGGACGGGGGCTGGAGCCAGGAAGGAGGAACTCAATCCGGGTCTCCCACTTGGGTGGCTCGGTGACTGGAGCCATGACTGCTGCCTCCCAGGGTCCTCATTAGCGGGAAGCTGCAGCCAGGAGCCAGAGCTGGGCACTGAACCCACTGCACTGATGCGAGACTTGGGCATCTGAACCTGTGTCTCCACCACTAGGCCAGACGCTGCACACTCAAGAGATAATGTATGGGGCAAGCGTTGTTGTGCCATGAGTTAAACCACCACTGGGACACCTGCATCCCAGAGTGTCTGTTCGAGTCCCAGCTGCTCTGCTTCCAAAGCTGCTCCCTGCCCATGCTTCTAGGAAGGCAGTGAATGATGACCCGACTACTTTTTTTTTTTTTAATTTTTTGACAGGCAGAGTGGACAGTGAGAGAGAGAGACAGAGAGAAAGGTCTTCCTTTGCCGTTGGTTCACCCTCTAATGGCCGCTGCGGGCTGCACGCTATGGCTGGCGCACCGCGCTGATCCGAAGCCAGGAGCCAGGTGCTTCTCCTGGTCTCCCATGGGGTGCAGGGCCCAAGCACTTGGGCCATCCTCCACTGCACTCCCGGGCCACAGCAGAGAGCTGGCCTGGAAGAGGAGCAACTGGGACAGAATCCGGTGCCCCGACCGGGACTAGAACCCGGATTCCTGCCACCCCTGTGGGAGACACAGATGGAGTCCTGGGCTCCTGGCTTCCTCTGGCCCAGCCCTGACTGTTGCAGATATTGGGGGGAGTGAACCAGCAAATGGAAGATTGATAGATTCATTCCCCACCCCCTTCTCTCTCTCTGTCTCTCTGGCCCTCTGCCTTTCAAATAAATAAATCTTTACCAAAAGTATTTATTTCTAAGTCATGTTGGAGTAGAACCACACTTGAGCCAGCTCCAGGCCCTCGGGGCACAGCGGCAGAGAAGAGCATGAGCGGTAGGTGAGGAGGGAGGGATTTTCTGACAACATGCGAAGCGGCTTCTTACAGCCTCGAAGGGAAGCAGTGCATCCACGTCATTTCTATTTCTGTCCCCCGATTAATTCATCCAAGTGTGAATACTGCAGCACATACACCTGCGACTAGGGGCACGGAGGCAGCACAGTTGAGGCGTGGGGACCCACGAGTCAGACTCGGCCCTGGTGGTGTTGGTGGCTCTTTGCTGACAATGGCAAGGGCCCGGGACTCTCACTGTCAGAGATATTCTGTTTGACAAAGGAAGACAATACACACACATGCAGTGTATATAACACGAACACGTCTACACTGCACACAGCACACTCTGGCATCTTCTATTCTGTTTTGTTTAAAGACGAAAATGCTGGGCACATCCCTCTCACCTGGTTTTGGGAGCCACGAATGCATCGCAAACACAGCTGGCAAACAGGCCACAGGCCCCAACTTGCTGCCCACCTAATGGCCTTGCGGGGACCCTGGGGACCCTCTTAACCCTGTGTCCTCCCCAGGCGGAGAAAAACATCATCCTGGAGGAGAAGATCCAGGTGCTGCAGCAGCAGAATGAAGACCTCAAAGCAAGGATCGACCAGAACACGGCTGTCACCAGGTGGGTGTGCCTGGCCCCTGGGCTGCCCGAGCATCGTGGGTGCCACCTCCGGAGCGGTTTCACTGTTGAGCTGCTTCTGTCGGAGTGTCGGTGGCTTCACTGTGAGCTGTGAGACGTCCCCATGCAGTCTCTCGGCGATGCCCCTATGACCAGGAGAAAGCAAGGCCACACCGGGGCACCACCAGGGGGCTCCACCTGGGGACAAACGAGTGGAATCGGCAAAGCAGGTGGCATGGCCACCAACAACACTGGGAGGTGCAGGGCACTTCTATTTGGAAGAGATTAGGAGAGAGACACCTGCTGGGTATTCCCAGGCCAAAGAGAACCCTGCTGAGCGACACCGCCATCTTCCAGAGACCCGTGTTCCTGCTCGGTCCTGCCTGTCCCTGCGGCTCCGTGCCAGGGGAGGGGGTTGGAGGCCTCTCCCTTCTGTAGCTCAGACTGGGGAGAGAACAGTTTGGGACTTCTTGGCCCAGCTGGAGATTGCATGAGGGCTGAGCCGTCTCGGTAACAGCCAGGCCGGCACCTTAGCCTGCTGTTCAGGATGCAGCTCCATGGTGTGTCACCCTGTGCAAGTGCACACTCACACCACAAAGGCACTGCATGCTCACACACACTCACCTGGCCCTTGCACGCCCATGCACATGCACCCAGTCGTGCCCACTCCCCCATGTCCTCATACTTGCACACTCAACTCTTCCTCTTGCCCACATGCTCTCACATTTGCACGCTTACCTTATGTGCATACACACCCCTTACACACACACAAACCAATGCATCTGCATCTGAGTTCTGGTGCCGGCATTTTGTTCCCACCTCAGTCACGCAGGAAGGACTGTGCTGGGGTAGCAGGTGCCATGACCCTTGCGCCTCCAACCCCCGGCCCCAGGCATAGGCAGGAAGTCCCACCCACCTCCCTGCAGATGCAGGGAGAATGCACTGGAGCAGCGCTGGCCCCTGCAGGCCCCGCCCATCACAAGCGTTAAGTGCACACTTCAGCCCAGAGGGGTGGTCTTCCTGTGTCTCAGTCTGTCCACTACAAAATGCACGTGTACCGATTGTTGGCTGTATGCAGCAAAGCCAAAACTCCGAAGGTCAAATGCAGTCATTAGTTTTCATTGCACATCCTTGATCAGCAAACATTGAGCATCTACTGTGTGCTGGTGCAGTGGTGGACGCCAAGGAGGCAGCACGCAGAGCCCTGGCCCCTGTTCTCCAGAGCAGCCGCGGCAGGGGAAGCAGACGGAAGTCGTGGAGACAGGGGCTGGGGCGCCGAGGCCAGGAGCAGACACCCTAGCTGCACCTGGGGTCGTCAGTGCCTCCCGTGCTGTCGGCCTCGTCAGGCCACTGCCTCCCGACCTCCCTGTTTGTCCACTGCAGCCTCGGGCTGGGCTCTGTCCGCTGGCAGAGCAGCGCCTCCCCTGACCGGGCACAGGGCCTGCAGGTTGCACAGGTGTTGGCGGAGAGACTCCGGGGATCCGTGATCGGGGGCACAGGCTGTGTTTGTTTCACCCTGGGTGGCCTGGCCCTGGCTCTCCCCTGGGCCCTGCGTCCAGCTGCGCACCTGCTCACGCGCTGCCAACTTTGTCCTTTTCCCCGTGCAGACAACTGTCAGAGGAGAACGCTAATCTGCAGGAATACGTGGAGAAGGAGACCCAGGAGAAGAAGAGACTGAGCCGAACCAACGAGGAGCTGCTTTGGAAGCTGCAAACCGGGGATCCGACCAGCCCGATTAAACTCTCCCCCACGTCTCCAGTTTACCGAGGTTGCGCCTCCTCGGGGCCCTCCTCTCCAGCCAGACTCAGCACGACGCCCAGATGACGTCACCACGCAGCCTAGGGGAGCTCCGGCTTCCGGTCCACCGCAAGGGCGGACTGACCCGGGCCCGGCCCGGAGCCGGCCCAGCGCGCATGCTCAGTAGCTGCATCCTGCCTCGTAGGCCGCGTCCTCTGCCCCCCACCGTGTGAGACTGTCCTGGTGTTGTTGGCATTTAGGAAGGTGTGTGATGTGCAAGCGTTTTACCATAGTTAGCGCCAAAAGAAAGACAACTCCAGTTCTCGAGGGAACTTCCACTGCAGAATTTCAGGTCACAAAAAGCTCAATTTTCAATATACACTCAGCAATCGTTGTGTACTGCACCGAGATGTGTGTGTATTTAGATACACGGATATACACATGCGGCGGTTCTCAGTTGCATTTTTTTATAACGTCAAGTGCTGACATATTTTAGTCACGGTCAGCAGTTTTCTAACTCGTGCCTAAGAATTATTGGGAAATGACAATGCATTTCTATCTAGTTTCCCAGGAATATTTCTACCCAAAATAGAAAAAGGAAAAAAAAAAAAACCATACGGAGCAAAAGCGCCTTTGAACCTACCACCAAGTGGTACTCTATCTAGCATAAACACCAGCCATCTGTGAACGGTAACCGCCTTCGTGAGAGTCAGCGTCTCAGGCCGTCCCAGGTGAGGGCTCCACTCGCAAGGTCTAGTTAGGAGCGGCTCTGCCCTGCGTGGAAAGCCCAGGGGAATCCGCCGCTTTGCAGGTGTTCCGCACCACAGCGACTCAGCTACCGTCTCCTGAGCACAGGTCTTGATTTCGTCCTGCGTGGCATCTCAGAATCGAGCTGTAAACTTTCGGGATCCTTGAGAGAGAGAGAGAGAGGGTGAGGGTGACCCTGGAGGTGACCGAGACCCTTGGTGCACCATTCCTTAGGAAGGGAAACTGGCAAGCGACGGGGCCTCTGTCTGGACCAGGCTTGCTGCGAGGCTGTTGCTAAATGCGCTCAATTCATTGGAAGCCGATCTCAGACTTGCATTTCCTAGGTAGGCTCCCCACTTCAGTTTGGTTCAGCGACTCGGCTCCGTCACTGCACATGAAGGTGGCTCAGGGGTTCCGGCTCCCCCCTCCCCCACACGGTGGTCCTGTCTCCGGCCGAGAAAGCTCTCCCAGACCGGGGCCGGGGCGCAGTGGCACAGCCGGTGAGGGCTCCCTGGCCACCGGCCTGGCGTCTGTCTGGGACACGATAGCGTTAGGATACAAAGAGGCACCCCCGTGGCAGAGTGGAAGACACAAGCGACAGAAGTAGTTTTGACCGTCAGTGGGGGTGATGGCGCCTTTGTCTAAGACCCTGTACACCTCTCCCAAAGACCCCTAAAAATCGCCCTGAGCGTAGGCTGGGCTGAGCACACCCAAGGCACGAAGTTCCAGGCAGGGGTCTTGCGAGGGCTCAGAACCGGGGAACGGCAGGCAGGAGGCCACGCAGGGGCGTGCCCAGAACGCGCAGGAGGCCACGCAGGGGCGTGCCCAGAACGCGCGTGTGGCTTGCGTTGGTGACATGAGCCCGGGGGTCGGGCTTCCTGGCCTGGGGGCACATCTCGTTTTCTCTCAACCCTGCAGGGGCCCTGCCCGTGCTGGGGACACCCACGGTAGATAGGCATTGAAGACACATTTCTTTTTGCTTCTGTGGCTCTGCATGCTGCTGTAATGTTGGGGTTGGGCATCCTGTTAGAGTAGATCCTGCCATGATTATTTATTCTCTGGGCGGGCGCAGGCTGCCAACAGCAGCTAGGCTGCAGCTTCGCTGTCTTGCGTAACCGCCGCCTGCCAAACGCAGTCACCCAGCGATACAGACTCCCCCGCGATGTTAGCGTGTGGTGCTGTGTGTTAGGCTGTGCGCTCAAAGTTGTAGCGATGGTAGCGCTAAGTAATCCCTCACCCACCCGGTGGACCAGACCTTTGCCCTGGACAGCCGTGACCTTGGGGTTGAGCTGATGTCCACATGACCCTGGCTTTGTTTTTTGCTTCATGGACGCCCATCACGTCTAGCTCTTCATCTGAGTCATTTCTGTTTCCGAAACACATGGGACAACAGCTAGTGCTGCTGCGCCCCCTCCTGGACATTCCCCCCTGAACACACAATTAGGACTGGGACTTCTCTCTGCCTCTGTCTCCATTCCCAGCTCGGGGGCAGGGGCCTTCTCAGACATAGACGCTGCAGCGGGAAAGCCCTGTCTGGTAGCAATCGGGAGACGTGACCGTGGCCTGGGTGTCAGCCTGGGGCGGGAGTGGGATGGAGGTCTGGCACTCTCTGGGATTAGTCGAATGGGGTCACCGCGTTCCTCCTCCCTTCAGTTTCTGTGTTAACGTATCTGTGTTTAAAGCCTATTAAAATGAACATGAGGGACTTTCTGTGATATGCACTTGGTGTCACTGGAGACCTGACCCTCAGGCCGGAGAGTCCAGGCAGGGAGGTGTTGGCAGGCTGGGTTCCTTCCTGTGTGTGTGTGTGAGCACGTGCAGGGGCACCTGATTGTCACTGAGAGCAACCCTGGAGACCTCCTCTCCGACCGGTGAATTCTTCAGCAGCGCAAACCGCGGCCTTGGGGGCTCAGTGGCTCCACTCGGCGGGGCAAGGTGGGCTGGTGTGGGTTGGAGGGACACAAGTGGCTGAACACAGTCCCCGCACTATGAGGTTCAAGGTCAGACCTTGATGGCTGTCCTGCACGAAGCTCATGGAAAATGGAATTAAAATATTAATTTATTGGGGCATAAATTTTTTGAAATCCATGCATATGAAGTGTCTTCAAAAACCCACAAAAAGTGTACATTATTAAAGTCATAAACTATGCATAGATTTCACAAATTTCTCACCTGTTTTCACCTGCAAGTGCTCGCTCCCCTCATCCCAAGGGCCTTCAGTGTGGGCAGCTGCAAGCCTGGCCCTGGAGTGGCCTGCAGGTGCCTGGCACTTGTGGGGTCACAGGAGTCCCCTGGGTCTGCCACCTCCCTCGGTGGTCTTGCAGGGTGCGTAGGCATGGCCCTGGCGGGCACGGAACAGACTCTGCACAGAGCACCCACGTCACGGGCCCCCTGGCCCCCAGGATCCCCTCGGGAGCAGCCCTGCTTCCCTGTTTTTCCACAGTGCCCACCTGGCGATCGCCGGTTTCCTCAGCATGCCCTTCTGTTTTGGGGTGTCTTGAGAGCCCTCCCCACTGTGTGATAGCCACCTCCCAGTGTCCCTCCACCCACTGCGTGCACTAAACAAAGCAGATGTCCCCACAAGGAGCACACTGGAGATAGCCCCAGCACCCGCAGTACGCGCGGGGACATCAGAGAACTGCCCCTCCCGTACTGACTGTGCAGCAGGTGGAGGCCTCTGAGGCCAATTCACCCACCAGAGAGATGCCCGCCGTCCCTCAGGGGAGACTTGTGTTGTCTCCATGGGAGGGGGCCGGGAGGAGCCGGGAGCTGCCTGAAGGGGGTGTGGCTGTGGCGGCATGAAGCAGTGAGTGACAGGAGTGACACTTGTCATCTCATGACACTCAGCAGGCGAGCGTCCTGCGCCCGCAGAGTCCACGTGAGTGCTGCAGACATGCAATGCCAAGGGCTGTTCAGCCATTAGGACCTGGGGAGTCTGTTACGTTCAGGTGGGGAAATAGGAGAGGATCGCGGAAGTTTCACAGAAAACGGGATTGGGGCAAAGATTACAAATTCGCGTGCATCGAGGGACTTCAAGCAGTTTGTAAAAATGTGAATTATGAAAAACCATGCACGGATTTCTTCTCCAGGCTCCCTCGCCCGTCTGCTTCTCTCAGTCCTCTTGCCACACATCTCAACCAAAAAAGGGCGCCCGTGGGGCTTCTGCACCCCAACCTCTGTTAATGCCCTGCCTGGCCCCAGCAGGGAGTTGCGAGCCCGTGCGGCTCACTCAACGGTTTCTGGAAGTTTCTCCCGGCACCAGCATGTGCACCCTCCCCCTCCCCTTGGGTGCCCAGGTCAGGTGCACCCCAGCCAGCCCCATTGCACGCTCGCTGTCCAGTGGAGCCACAGCTTCCCCTCTGCACCCGGGCCACCACGGTGGGTAGCTGGGGTCCCGGCGCGCTGCATACACGTGGGCACCGCATGACCCAAAAAGCACCCGAGGGAGCTGTGGCTTTCCTTAGTGGACTTAACTGCCTGTTGTTTTCCCAAGGCCATTTTGCAACTTTGCCTTGTTGTTGTGTTTTAAGTGTCTAGGGCAAACGGGCTTAATTTGGTAAAACTTGACTGGTGGTGCCTGAGCAAGGCCCGGCTGTGACGATGGGATTGGAAGCCCAGGCAGTTCCCTGGGGCTCTCCCTGACGCAGACAGACGCCCTGTGCAGGCCGCTGGATAATGTGCCCGAAGTATTTCCTAGCCAAACTGGAAGGGCAAGTTGCTGCAGGCTGGAACAGCTCTGCCTGCGCGCCGAAGCCCAGGCAGCAATTTTTCAAGCCGCCTGCGCTGCCGCACTGTGGCCACTAGATGGCAGTGTGTCACCGCGGGACCCAGGAACAGCCTGAAGTCGCGCGGAGTCCTGGGCCCGGCTGCTTGGCAAAGCCGGCCCGCGGTGTAGGGCAGGGGCTGCTGGGCCCCCGTTCTCGCTTCCCTGCAGTGTAACCGTGATCGCATAGAGGGGGCCCACGGCTACCGGGGACCCCAGACACCTGCACGTCCGTGCTGTCCCACGGCCCGTGCTCTCGGGTCGGCTTGCCGATGAGGCCGCGAGCTCAGAAGGGACTCCAGGCCCAGAACCCTAGTCAGGAGCTTGGACACAGCTCGGTCCAGCTCCCTGGACGGAGCTTAAAGCTTATCACGCAGGCAACAAACAGGTCTTCCGGGATAGCCCCGGAATCCCTGCTTTTGTGTGTGGGAACGAAGGGTGCCTTGCCCGCCTGGACCTCCAGAGCCAGAAATGCCCCCTTTCTCAAGGGGGTTCGGCGTCAGGTTCTGAGAGCTACAACCTGCCCCGTCCACCTCATTCCGCTAGACACGTGCGGGGCAGCCAGTGCAAGCCTAAGGCGACAGTAGAGAGGGGGGTTTGCAGCCTCTCTAGGGTCCCAGGTCCAAGCCAGGGTGGACAGAAGATGGGAGGTGGAGGGAGGATGGTGTTGGGGGAGGGGGACCCAAACTAGGTGTTAGGGGTTCCCCAACAGAGGCTCAAGTGCTTGGAATAAGACACCCCACCCTTCCCCGCCCAGTGACTGCAGGAAAATAAGGCTGGGCACTTCAGGCCATCAGCCGTAGGACAGAACAGGATCTGGAACTTTCCATGGGGGCACAGCCACATTGCCAGAATTCCCGAAACCACACCATACACACGGAAGGCAGAGACAGCATTTATTAGAATTTGTGGAAGCATGAGATAGCGCTTTTTTTTTTTTTCTTTTGACCATGGAAAGCACGGTGGGAAGTCGTGGATGTACAGTGTAGTCAGCAGAAAGGGGAGATGGAAGAGTTTCACATTTTTTTAAGGTGAGAGGCGACACCTGCACTTGCCCTTAAAAAATAAAATACAATACAGTAAAACCCAGAGGGGCCCAAGCAGCAACCAACCTGGTTTGCAGTTAGCATCAGAATCTAAATCTAGTATAATTATTTAAGAAACTCTAAGAAAAACTAGTAGAAAAATAGAACATCAAACAAGCAAAAATTATCATACAATTTACATAATAAAAATGCACAACTCTAATAATGGCTCCACATTCAGTAGAAGACAGTTTGCTGGAAACCACAGCGCTCCAGGTTTGATAATAAACCCACCCTCTTCAGCAGCACGACCCCCTGTGCCCCTAAAACCCAGTGAAGCCAAAAGGCACAACTTAAGCAGGAAATGTATCTTAAATATATATTACAACGTCTCCAAAGGGAAAATAAGTCCCAAACTTAAAAGTCTGTGATGGAGAAAACAGGAAATCAGAGATCTCAATAAATTAACAGAGTCCCAGTGTCCTCCTGGCCTGTTTCCTGTCCCTGCTGCACACACTCATACCCTGAGAAAATCCGCCCGGCCCAGGTCTCTGCAGCTCTGCCCGCTCACGGGGTGACCCAGGCCTGTGCCCTGAGACCCTTTGGCGGAGCCAGGGCCCTCTGGAGACAACACACCATGCCTCCAAGAAGCAGCAGGCACAGAAAGGCTGCAGATTCCAGAGAGGAACTCGAAAAGCAGTTGACACTGTTTTTTGGCCTTACAAAAGCCTTTAGGCATCGTAACCTCGCTGATGTGTGGAGGGTACTATCTTGCACTACCTGATCAGTTAAGTGTGTCGCTACTCGTTCCCTCCAACATGTCCACAGAAGTCTGACAAAACGCTTATGTCGCTCTTGCTGCGGGGAGGGAGGGGAGAACGTGTGATGCTCTTATGACCACAGCACACAGACGCCGTCTGAATGACGTGCAGCAACACAAACATGGCACGAACTCAGTGACAATTCCATGCACATAAGTCACACCCCGTCTCCCCAAAAATTCCCTCCTCCAGAAGCTCGGCAGCCCCCGGGAGTGTGCACCTGGTGACAGCTCTCCATCCAGCCCAGGGCACAGTCAGAGTCCACCCCTAGTGCTCGTGGTGTCGAGGGGGTGCATGTGTGCAGATGCACCCGGGCACCTGGGGTGGGGGCAGGGCCTCCAGGCCTGGGCGTGGCCATCCTTGTCCCAGGAACCCAGCCAGCAATGCAGTACTCCCGGCTCCGCCTCCAAGCTCCACCTGCCTGGCCTTGGGTGGGCCCGCCAACACCAGCTGGTGGCAGACATAGGGAGAATGGCATGTATGACCCGAGTTCCATCTGCCTGCCCCAGCGCCAGGCCAGACGTGCAGGTGGGGAGCGTGGCACAGGACGGGAGGACCCCCGCGCCGCAGGTGCCGTCTGGTGCCTCCTGGTGCTGTGCCGGGGGCCGCCCCGTCAGCAGTCAGCATGCGGGACCGCATGGATGATCGCCGGATGGAAGGCAGAGGCTTGGTGGAAAGGGTTTGCTGTCGCACAAAACACAAGCTCAAAGCGGGTGATGATCCGAGCCACGCGGCAGGCTGTCTGTCCCTCTCCCTCCTACAGAGGCCCCACGCCCACCCCGCCTCTGCGGGGCTCCCCTGCTCTGGGGCAGAGGTCCTGGGGTCCTTAGCGAATAGGGGTCACGGATGCACACAGACGGTGGGGGCGAGACGGGAGGGCCCCTTATTCATGGCACATGGGTCTTTCCAGGGTGGGTGGGCTTGCGGCTGATGCAGATTGTAAATTTCCCCTGCAAGATAATCCTGGGCCGGCTGTGAACCCAGGATGATTCTCACGGGCACAGAGACGTTAGGAGACGCCAAGCCGGGCGCGTCAGTTCCCATCCAGCTCCCCGCTCATACACCTGGGACAAGCAGCAGAAGGTGGCCCAAGCGTCCGAGCCCCTGCACCCACGTGAGAGACCCAAAAGAAGCTCCTGGATTTGGCCTGGCCCAGCCCAGGCCTTTGCAGCCCTCGGGGAGTGAACCAGCTCTCTCTCTCTCTCTTTCTCTGTAGCTCTTCCAAATAAAATAAATCTTTAATAATAATAATAATAATAATAAACAGAGCCGCAAAATGATGGGTCCCTTTTTTGTGCCCGTGTGTGTATTCATTGCAGGGGAAGGCACCTGGGATGTTAAGAGAAAGCCAACTACAATGCAGGGGTTCACCCAGACACCACTGCTTCCGGCCCTGTCCTGTACGGGGCGCTCCCAACAACGGTACAGAAACGGGCGGCCACAGGGCAACACCTGGGCCGGTCCCACAGTGTCCCAGACAATCAGGAGGGCGGACCCACGCAGCGCGCCTTCCCTCAGTGCAATGCGACACGTGGCTGACCGCAGTCTCATCTGCAAGGTGCTATCCTCTGTGGACATCTCAGGCAGAAAGAAAAAAAGAAAAAAAAAGTTTTCCCTCCCCTCCCCCAGCTGTCCTTGGACACCCTCTTTCCCTCAAGTTCTCTTTGCCTATGTAGAAAAATAACAGCCACAAAAAAAAGAAGAAAAAAACAGGTATTAGGTCCTAAGAAGACAACAGACAACCAAAACCCCAATAAAATAAGTTAATGTTTATCAAAATATTTTACAGCACCAAATCTACATAAATTTAAATATCTTTCTTTGGAAACCCAAGCTCTGAGCTTCGTGCCACTCCCTCTGGGACATTCAGAGATGCTCAGAGGGCAGCTTCCAGGAGGCGGCAGCGCCTGCCACGGGCTGGGCCCTGGGAGAGCCGGCCCTCGGGCTGTGGCCCTCATTCTCGGAGTGCTCTCCGAGAACCCTCTGGGACACGCGGAGAGACAAGTGCAGTCAACGTGTAGGGCTTTTCCGAGTGGGAGGACAGCAGGGAAGGAGCGGGAAACAGCTTCGCAAGCAGCTCTGGTGCTTCCCGCGGCAGCGGAGAGGGCACCAGAGAGGTCACCCGGGGCCCGCTCCCCAAGGAGCGTGCAACCAGGGCTGCCGCCGGGGGCTGAGCGGGAGGGGCACAGCGTGCCGGCGCGGACACCTGGGTCCCGGCGGGGCCTCGGGCAGGCTCAAGCACTTGAAGCGGGCGGGAGTGTGGCCGGCCAGGCGGGCGGTCGCGATCCAGTTTTCTGAGCCAAGCCCCCAGGGGAACCTGACGCAGGGACTCGCAGCTGCCAGGACTGAATCCCGTGGCGCACACGCAGGGGCTCACAGCCCACGGCTGGGGTCACCAGGTCACTGAGCTGCCTCCTGCTCAGGGAACCTTAGGCACCCCAGGAGATTCGGTGACTGGGACAGTCCCCTGGAGACTTCTACACGCCGCCACCCCAAGGCCAACGCTGCGCCCCTCGTCGCCCGTTCCAGAGGCTCAGCACGCATGGCCAGCGGCGATCGAGGCCAGCAGCCGCGAGCCCCGCCGGGGCTGGGGCAGCGTCTGGCGTGCGCACTGCGTAGGCGCCCCCAGCCCCACTCTCCCCGCCGCTGGAGGCCCTGCATCCTTTGCAAATCAGACCCCTGACTGCAATCCCAGGGGCCGCCCACCGAGGGCGTCCGGCTCGGAGGGGCCGGGCTGGGAGCAGCAGCCGGGGCCGTGGGCCTGTGGCCGGCCGCGGGGTGCGCAGTTCACAGGCCAGCGTGGTCCCGGGGAGGGTGGCCCGCGGTCCCGAGCTGAGGAGAGAAGCTGGCCGCCGCGGCCCGGGACAGAGCTGGCGACAGAAGCGCTGTTTGCTTGCTTTGGAGCGGGGGTGAGGAGACATGGCGGCCACCCCCCTGCCAAGGAGTTGCTGGAGGTGACCGGCCTCAACCGCCGTGGCCGAGGCTGCAGTTCAAGTAATTGCCCGCTTGGGGGCGCCGGGGATGTGGGTGGGTCCCGCGGCCCCGCTGGGGAGGGCAGGGGGCGTGGCGGCCCTCAGGGGGTGGCCCTCAGCGGGCGGGGCTGCGCGTCACTTGCACTGGTCCAAATTGCCCTCAGGAGTCCTTGCCTGGCCGGCGGCCAGGGACGCCTCCTCGCTGTGCCACAGCCCGTAGCCGAAGTAGATGATGAAGCCTGCGGGCCGAGAGCAGAGGGATGAGGGTGAGCGCAGGGCGCGCGGTCCCTACCCCTGACTTCCCGCCTCTGGACAATCAACAGCTGCCTCATCCTGCCTCGGGCACGGGCTCCCGGCTGGCCTCACTGCAGTGTGCCCTGGGCACACATGGCAGCTAGCCCTCCTCCCCATCTCTCCCTTCCCAGGACCTGAGGCCCTCCCACTTAGCCCTGGGTCATCTCCTGGAGGCCTAAGACCACCTAGCAGTCACCCTGTATGCCCCCCATGAACCACGGGAGACCAAGAAGGCTAAAAGGGCACAAAGGTCAAGGCCCACCCCCTGGCACCTGCACCAGCACTTAAGACACAGGGAAAGGAAGAACCTGACCACGCCCCCTGCCGAGGGCCAGAGGCCCAGAGGTGGGGCACAGTCAGCCGGCCGCAGACCAGGCTGCACCACCCAAGAGGACCAGAGCCCCCCACAGCCTCTGTCCAGCAGCACCTCCCCCACGCCCACTGTCAGCAAAGGAGCCGTGGGCAGCCCGGGACAAGGACACCCGCCAGGCCCACAGCCCACAAGGACCAGGCACTGGCTGGGCCGGGAGGAGCCACAGCCCAGACTTCCCCAGCTGGGATGGAGCTACCCAGTGCCTTGCCCACCGCAGACTCACGGCCTTGCTCTGATGAATGCCAGGCTCTGGCCTGAGGAGAGAACTACAGTTTGGACAAAGGGCTATGAAGACGACAAGTGTGTAAATGGGAGGGAGGGCTCACTGCCTACCATGAGTTCCATTTTTTCAGAGGAAAACGCTGACTACTACATGGCTTCTTAGGAAATCTGAAACACGGGGGACTTGACATCAACCCTCGGCCCTGTAGCAGGAAGACAGATGAACAACCCACACAGCCTTGGGGGGGGGGGGCACAAGAGCAGCCGAGGATACTGGCTGTGCTGGTCGCAGGGACACCCACCTATCAGCATCCACACGGCGAAGCGGACCCAGGTGCCCTGATCCAGCTGCATCATGAGATAGACGTTCACGAAGATGCTCAGGACAGGCAGCAGCGGCACGAAGGGCACCTGCAGAGACATTGGGGGGCGTCAGACCCCGCCCCCACCCCACCCCAGCAGACACCGCCCCTCCCCCACCTCCAGCCAGGAGCAAATCTGTAGTGGTGGAGATTGGGTTTCATGCTACTCCTTGCCAAAGTGAGCCCTCCTCTAGTTTTGCTCTCTTGCTAGTTAAAGAAGGGACTAGAAGGGCAACTTCCACTTTATTTCTAAGGTTGGATTATTGTATTACTTATCTAAAAATGCAAAAACAAAAAAACAAACCCCAAAGCTGCAGTCTCCTCTGCGATCCACCCTACCAGATGGCCCCGTGGACAGGCGTGCCCGCCACACTTTCCAAAGCTGGCTGGCAAGCACCTCCCTCAGAACACCCAAGTTCCCCAGCAGGAAGACCCGAGTCCTCGGCCCACCCCGGGGTCTCCCCCAGGCCCAGGAGGCCAAGCCGCTCACCTTAAACGACAGCTTCGTCTTGCTCTCAGGCTGCCTCCAGATGATGGCTGTGACCAGCGTGCACAGCACGGCAGAGCCTGAGAGCACAAAGATGGCCCACAGCGACCCTTGGGCCAGGGCCTGCTTGCCGAGCACGGCCACAATGCACACGGTGATGATGAGAACAGCTAAGAGGGAGGAGAGACAGACAGATGTGATTCAACCATGTCCCAAGTCCTCACGGGTATTCCCAGTTCTGTCCTAAAATGTGTCAAGAGCAGGGCTCCACTTCTGTGACGTCAGCTACAATCAGGACAGAACGACTGGCACCACAGACCAGCAGTGAGACAGACACTGACTGCTGCCCCCACGTACCCTATGCCCCAAGTCCCATACACGGGAGGGCATGCTCTTACCTATGAGGCTGGCTGACACATTCACGATTAGCCCGGAGAATTTGGAAGGCTCCATGGTTTTGGGTGAGAACACAGCTTTCAAAGAGAATTTCTCTGATTCTGGCAGAAAGCCTGTCTGGGAGTCACTGGTGCTCACCAGTTCATTCTGGTCCACTTGATCTAGCTCATCGGTCGTCCTGGCCATCTGGTACACCAGATTAGGCTGCTCTGGCTGATACCTGCGGAGAAATGTATGGGGCGTGAGCACTGTCACCAGCTCTAATTAAGCAAAGGGACATGTACCAACTCAAGTTCTTAATAAGTCTTCAAGGGCTGAGCTGCCTAGCACACAGGCACTAGATGGAAAGGAGCGATCAGAATGGTGCAGTGTGGGTACAGAACAGCAGAGACCTGGCTCCTGCACTTGCTCCTTTGAGGTCTCTGTTTTGGGGGAACATGATGCCTACCACACAGAAGCCCAGTGTCCTGAGACAGTCTTGCTATTCCCCTATGAAACAGCAGTGGCCCATGGACAGTAAGATGGCCACTTCTCACAAGATCATGACCGAAGGGAGCTAAGAGTATGGGTGGACACAGGAAGTGGTTGACATGCGGCTCCTGCTAGATACGTGTCTGTGGGCTTCAGGGATTGACACACTGTGTGTGTGACTTAACTGGATCAGTATATTGCAAAACTCCAAGGCCTCGGAGCGTGCGGCTCCGCAGAGCTGGGTGCAGGAGCAAGCCTGTAGCAGGGTTTCCAGTTTACCAGATGTCACAAGGAAAGTGCAGCGTTAAGGGAGCTTCCTTATCTCTTCACCCAAAATGACCAGAGTGCAAATCCTGGAATCTTGCAAATCTCTTCCAAGAACTTTTTGCATTATTTTGCAAACAATCTCTTTTAAGAGTGAGCATAAAGAGACTTGACCCTTTGCAGCCAGATTCCCACGTGTAGCATCACTCAATCAGGACCAGGAGAGGGCCTCAGGAAACAGTCTAGCACTGAGCCCCCGGGAAGGAACGGGGGCGAGGGGGGTCTGCAAGCTTGTTCAGCTGATTGTATGCAGCCACTACAAAGGCTCCACTCAGGCCTTTCATAAACTAGGTGCCGAGTCCCTGAGAAATGGAAGCAACAGCTTGTGGGTTTAAATGCCTGAGAATGATTAAAAGGCTCTTGCCGGTCGGCTGAGAGGGTTCACAGGCACCTGTTCTCGTGAAGAACGTTGTCTCAACCACCCCAGAGGAGAGCCTTGGCCCCCAGTCATGAAGGAGCCCAGGGAAGTATAGGAGGGATAGATGAGGACAGCAAGGCACAACAAGCCACGGCAGAGCCATCCTACTGTGACTGTCTGTGGTCCCAGCTGCCTGCTCCACACAAGACCGCAGCAGCCAGCACCTGGCAAGTGACCCTGAATGCCAACCCAGGCAGCTCTGGCCACACAATGGGGTTCTCTCCTCCGGCCACAGTGTCCCAAGCTACAGAAACATCGTGCTGACCTAAGCCTTTCCTGTCATGGATTCTCCCAGTACCCACGAGGGCCAAACCCCAGTCCCCACCGTCACAAGAACCTGGAGCGAGTTGCAGGTACTACCCTAAGCTTTCAAGAATTCTGACCCCAGGATCCAGACCCAGATCCAACAGAGGGGCTGAGAGTCTGTGTTTATCCTAACCCATAGCCAGAGAGAGGAGGGATGTGTGAGACAGCGGGGTGGGCGGGCACCCCTGACGTTTCAAGGTCATATCCTCCATCAAGGCTCTCAGACACCAGCTTCCACCCTCCCCTCAGCAGCGCCCAGGGGGGCTATCACCAACATAAAAGTCAAACCATCTACGCCGTCCATTGGAACTGTTAGAAGGCCATCATGGTGCACCTGCATTTCTGTCCTGGAAACTTACTGGAATAGATACATACCGTAACACCAACACACAGGCTGCCACTAGAGAGTAGGCCAGCAGAGTGCCAATTGACATGAGGTCCACCAGGTCCTTCAGGTCGAAAAGGAAGGCCATCACAGCTGGGGAAGAGACAGACATCGGGGTCCGTGGATGGCCCTGTCACCACCAACAGCCACAACCACCCACCTGTGGACCAGGGCATGCAAGGGCCACTGCTTTTACTCTCACCCACCCCCAACCTTTCCCTGGAAAGACACTGCTTAAAGAAAGACAGGTCAGGATTAAATTACACACACAACCCCTAAGAGATGGTCATAACAATTAACATTTGCATCTAGAGAACAAGCCATCCATCTAGCACACAGGGAGAAATTGTTAGACATAGCTGAAGCCACACTGGAAGGACTCCCAGGGGCTCCTCACCCAAACAGGGCGGCAGCGAAGGCACAGCTGTTCATTACAGGTCAAATCCCTTCACGTGGGAGAAACGTTTAGAGTGGCTCCCAAATGATACCAGCCCTGTCACCATGTCCCTGCCCTTTGAAAAGAATTAAACACGCATGTGTATCTGAAAAGCCTTTATCATTTTTTTATGAGAGTATGTGTCTATTTATGTGGCTACGTACGTCAAGTCTCCAATTTAAAACATAACACACTGAGATCTACTTGCAAGTCATGTGCCATCAACACGAAACAGATAACCAGAAAACCATCATTTTTCCTCTGGAGCGCCAGTAGAACACCACACTGAAACAAATTTAAATTGAGGACGACAACAGGTCTAAAGGGCCATGAAGCCCTTTCAGAAAGTAGAACAGTATCCAGCTGGACGCACCACAGATGCCTGTGCTCCTGCTCAGGTCTTAGAAAATCAATTACCACTCCCACGGAATGCAGAGAATGAATATATCCTTGGTTTGTGAATGGCATTTACTTTATGGTCCCTTGAAAAAGCCTGTCTTGATCTCCCTTTACTGGCACAAGCAGGAAACGTGGGCTTGTCTTTAATATGATCAAATGATGAGTAAACACTGGAAAACTCGACTTCCAATTCCTGAATCCCTTAAACATATTGACCATATCCTGAACTAATGGATGGGAGATTTTTCCATCTCTCAAATTAAACAATGTAGACAAATAAAATACAAGAACATATCCCATTAAAAAATTAATCCACAAAACTAGACATATTTTACTGAGGGCATAAATACTAATGAAACATAGTAAACAGTAATGCATTCACTTAAAGGCCAGTCAACAAGTCACTGGTATAACCTGCGACCACTGCCACATGACCTAAGGTAACCGAAGACCCACTGCTCTGCTTGGACCTGGAGGGAGCCCGGCTGCTTCGGCATAAACACAAACCACGATCACGAGTCAGCTCTGCCCCTCCTGGCTGTGCGTCCTCCCTCCCCTTCTCTGGGCCTCCACTGCTGCTGCTGTCCAGTGGCACAGAAGTGCTACAAAATGCAACCGTGAAAGGAGGAGATATACAGGACAGAGAGCAGAGTACAGTCTGCCTTTCAGGTTCTCCCCAAGACCCTTGTTCAGGACCCCTGGAACATCACAGGGCTCGCAGGGGTCTGGAGCCCACTGATGTCACCCATCAAAGCTGTCAAAACTGATTTGTCAGAAAGAACCCCCTATCCCAGACCTGCCATCCTTATTTACAAGGTGGGGACAAATGGCCTCATCTGCAATACCATGGGTACAGGCAATATGGCATCCTATAAAACTCTGACTTTAAGGGGCACTTGCTGGGGCTGGCGCTGTGGTGTAGTGGGTAAAGCTACAGCCTGTGGTGCCAGCTCAACTGGCTGCTCCACTTCTGATCCAGCTCTCTGCTGTTGGCCTGGGAAAGCAGTGGAAGATGGCCCAGGTGCCTGGGCCCCTGCACCCATGTGGGAGACCTGGAATAAGCTCCTGGCTCCTGGCTTTAGCCTGGCCCAGTCTAGCCATTGCAGCCAGTTGGGGAGTCCTCTCTCTGTCTCTCCCTCTTTCTCTGTAACTCTTTCAAATAAATAAATAAATCTTTAAAGGAAGAGAGAGAGAGAGTGAGAGAGTGAGAGAGAGAGGGGCACTTGTTTTCCAGAGAATTGCTGACCTAAGACACACGACACTGAATTTCCAGGTCTTTCTGGGCTTGTGCTTGTACCAGGCAACAAGGTCAGCCCACCAGAGTCTCCTCAGGAAACGTTCAGGGAAGGGGAGAGGCGGATGGCTCTGAGGGGTCAGTGGCACTCCTAAGCTCTGTGCACTGAAAGGATAACAAAGAGATCAGACTCTTCGAGAATCCCATCACAGCCTCCATAAAACCGGCCTCTGCCTTTTGTTCGAAAGGGCAGTTGTCTTTGCACAAGGCAGGTTCCAAGAGTAAAAAGCAGGCACTCGGAAGACGAGCTCAAGCATCACACGGACCAGTGCGATTCACGCCGTCTCACCAGGCAGTGCTCACTCAACTGTGCCAACAGCAGTGCTGTGAAATGAGCTCCAGTACCTACCTGCAATGGCGCCCGAGGTCAATGTGGCGATTATTGGCGTTTTGGTCCTATCGTTGACTTTGGCCAGAAATCTGAACAGCAGTCCATCTTCGGCCATGGCATAGATAACACGGGGCATGGGGAACATGGAACCTAATAGACTAGGAGAGGGGAAGAGGAAAAATGCATGAGTGGGGGCTGCTGGTCAGGAGTTAAAGGCACCACCTAGGACATTGCGGGGAGGCACCAGAATTCCTCAGCAGGGACTACCATCCCTCCATGCTGCACGAAGAAGCCCACGGTCTGTGCTAGCATTTACTGTATGAACTCCAGTGGAAGTACAGACCATACCTATGGGTTTAGGCCAAGAATGGGGACCATCTAACATGGACTAGCATGAGATCCAGCCAAAATCTGTACGCAGGAGCTGCCGTTGTGGTGCCGTAGGTTGAGCTACCACTTGTAACTGTAGCAACCTATACTGAGTGAGGGTTCACATCCTGGCTGCTCCACGTTGATCTAGCTCCTACTAATGCATCTGGGAAAGCAGTGCACGATGGATCAGGTGCTTGGGTCCCTGGCACCCTCATGGGAGACCCAGATGGAGTGCCAGGCTCCTGCAGCCACCTAGGGAACGAACCAGCAGATGAAAGACCTTTCTCTCCTCTGTCTCTCCCTCTCTCTCTGTCATGTCACTCTGACTTTCAAAAAAGTAAGACTTTTTTTTTTTTAAAGCTGTATGCAAGGGAAATTTTGTATGCATCCCTGTAACCACTGCTGGCTGAATCAGACAGAAAATAAATGCATTGCTGCCTTCACAAGGAAATTTTCCATGCTTCATCAATTATTTAGCAACAGTTCCTGTTTACAGAGGTTAGTAGGAAACACCAGGGGCAAAATGTTTCTCATTAAAAGGCACTCATTCCCCTTTCCAAAGTAGCCCCTACTTTACAGCCAAACTAAGAGCCAAAAAATGGTGCTCAAAGAGGACTTTGGTCCAGTGATCAAAGCCTGGGCCAGTAAGCCAGTCCCTCACTAAGCAGACCATGGCGAAACATGGGCCTCAAGCTCTTCATGAATAGAAGTATGGTAGGCTCTTCCTAGCCAAGGTTTCACTTTCCAAGGCCCTGCTACTAAGAGGCCAAAAATCAAAACACGGACAGTTCCAGAAGTAAACAATTCATGAGTTCTAAATAATTTTTATTATAGTATATTGTTCTAATTATTCTACTTTCCTGTTAGCTAGTGTTGTTGCTCTCTTGTTGTGCCTAATTTATGAAGTACACTTTGTCACAGGTTATGATCAGGTAGGTACACCTAGGATTCCGTGTGATCTGCAGTTTCAGGCCTCCACTGGGAGTCCTTGGAATGTGTCCCCCTATGGGGAGGTGTGACAGCTGTTATCTACCACACAGATGTCTCTGGGGATGATCTACAGCAAAGACAAGTGGGGAAACACACACTGCCTCACCCTTCTCGGAAGGAGCGGCGTGGAGGGCGTCTCTCACCTGGCAGACAGTGCACAAAGGGAGCCCACGGCCACTGCATACTTAGCGCCTTCCCAGCCCACGTGCTTGAAGGCGTCGGGCAGGGGGCTGTCCTTGTCCAGGCACATGTAAGGCATCATGAGTGTGAGGGCCGCAGACACCCCGAAGTAGGCGATGAAGCAAATCAGCAGCGACAAGACAATGCCCATGGGGATGGCCTTCTGGGGGTTCTTGACCTCTTCACCTGGAAGCAGCCAGGGTCAGCCTCAGGAGACACAGCCCACACCCATGCGACCGCGGCACCCACAAGTGACTACCCCACAACGCTCGGCCCTGCAGGAACCGGAGTCTTCCAGGCTTCCTCGGTGACACAGACCAGCCAGCCCGCAGCCCCAGGAGGACACACTCCATCTCCTTGTCATGGTTCAGCCAAGGAGGAGACCTGCCAGAGGGTACCCTGCCGATTCCACAGGCCAGGATGACAACGTCTGTGGTGGCCTCATTGCTCCTGGTCGATGAGCAGACACAAAATCAGGCTGTCATGACCCCATTCTGACAGGAGAACGGAACTGTTCGTAGGGTTCATGCAGGTGCTGCCACTCAGGGCAATGAGGAAGGTGGGGGTGGTGAGGGAGGTGGGGCGGGAAGCTACAGACGGCCATGCCCACGGGAAGGCAAACATTTGTGTGAGGAGCAGAAGGCGTACCTGTGGTGGCAATGCAGTCAAAGCCCACGAAGGCGTAGAAGCAGGTCGCCGCCCCCGACAGGACGCCAGAGAAGCCAAAAGGCATGAAGCCACCAACACCGGGCTTCCCTTCCTTCGTGTCACTAGGAAAAAGAGCCAGAATCACAGGTCATGACACCTGCTGTGTGGTCAGAGAGCAGTGCTCACCCCACCCTCACGTCCCTGCCAGGCCCAGGCTGCAGACCCTCAGGCCACCATCCTGGGGCCATGGCACTCCCCCTCCTGTTTGGTGTAGCCCAGAGTCCCAAGGGTTCCAAAGCCTCATCTCCATTAAGGGGCTCTGGTGGGGAGAGGCAGGAACAGTGAGGGACGGGGGTTCAAGAGGAAATGGGTGAGAAAGTGACTGCTGCAGCTGCAATGGCTCTGGGTCCTAGGGCCAAAACCAGAAGCCAAGAAAACTCAATCAAAGCTTCCCACCAGAGAGGCAGGGGCCCTACTACTCGAGCCATGACTACTGCCTCTTGAGATGAGCATTAGCAGGAAGCTGGAGGCAGGAGCTAGAGCTGGGTATCAAACCCAGGTACTCTGTGTGGGCTGCAGGCATCTTAATCAGCATCTTAACGGCCAGGCTCAAGGCTTCTAGCTGGGGTGCACAGCCATTTGTCTACATTCTGCTAAGCAGACTGGTGCACATTCAGCATGGGCAGCTCTGGAGAAGTGTCTGGGGATGGAGGGAACGAGAAGGTGCTCTTCTGCTTTCCCCCTTCCCATCCAGCTAGTTACAGTGGCCACTGTGGGCCCAGGGCTGGGCTGTGGGCAAAGCCACAAGATGCAAGGGCTGCACTCCCAGCCCAGAGAAGGGGTGTGCTCGGCTGACCACGGCCGGATTGTTCACTGAAGAGAGCTGCATTTTGAACTTGCTGAAGCCAAAGCCGTTTTGGGGTTTCCTTCTTGGAACCCCAAACTCAAGACGTCATCCAAAAGAATTTCCTGCACATGGCACCAACGCCTCACTCCTACATGTCTGCTGCCTGTTTCCAACACACTGGGTGGGAAGAGCCGAAGGCAGCGCTAGCCAAGGGCAGCGGGCACAAGCTGGGCTGTGGGAGCCCATGCCTACCCCAGAGCTCCGCAGACTGACTTGCAGCTCAGGGGAGCCTTCTCAGGTGGCCATGGAGGGAAGAAGGCATCATAAAACCCAGTACAACGCCACCCTCACAGGCTGAGTGCCCTCTCTGGTACATGGCTTGGTCGGAAAATGCCCAGTTTCGGAGAGACACGCAATTTCACACCAGACTACGTGGCCACTGTCAGGAACACAGAAATCTCCAGATGCGAAACCAAGAAGGAAGCTGAGCAAGCTGAATGAAACCAAAGAGCAAGGCGGCAGATCCCCTGCCAACCCCAACTGCCCCCTCGCAGGTCTTCAGATGGAAGTGAAAAGGCACCACCCATGACCACCAGGCCAGGCCAGGCAACAGACACCACGTTGTGTGCGAGGCTGATTCAAGGCCAGTTCATGGTCACCACGGCCTCCAGCATGAGGACAGCCGACTAAAGTAAACACTGTCAGCTGGCACAAACAATCTTTTCACAAAAATAGTTAAATTAAGTCTCAGCTGGCAACCGAGAAACAGGAGGCACCCTTAACTTCACTCCGGCCCTGTAAGAAGCAACCAGTAAAAGACGTCCAAGTTTGTAGAGTCTACTGTGGGACTTCAGTGCACATTCTGAGCTGGCTTTAGCTCCACTCCAAAATAATGGGCACTGACCAATTAGACATAAACAGAAAAACAAGATGGCAGACAGGTGGGCCCCTGAGAGGGCCAGAGAGTTGGGACTGCTAGTTTGGTGACTGAGACATCACAGGAGGGCCTCTTTGGCTTTGTTTCCTGGGAAACTGGAACCAAAGCATGGGGTCCTGGGCTGGCCAGATGCTTGCCTCTGGCTCCAGATGTCCTTCGTTGGGGAAGCCAGGGTGATGGGCCAGGTTGTTACTGTGACAACCCAATATTTTAATTCTAAAAAGCTTCGGTAATAGAGTCACGCTTTTTTTCTCTCCTGATATCATTAAAAGGCTAGCAAAGCATTTAAAAATAAAGTGGGGCTGGTGTGCGCAGCAGGTTAAGTTGCTGCCTGCAGCGCTGGCATCCTGTATGGGTGCCAAATCAAGTCTCAGTTGCTCCACTTCTGATCCATCTCCCTGCTAACGCACGGGGGAAACCACTGGAAAATGGCCCAAGCGCCTGGGTCCCTGCACCCATGTGTGAAACCTGGATGAAGCTCCTGGCTCCTAGCTTCAGCCTGGCCCAACCCTGGCTGTTGTGACCATTTGAGAAGTAAACCAGAGGATGGAAGACCTCTCTCTCTGTCTCTGTCTCTACTTCTCTCTCTGTGCATGCCTCTCCTTTCTCTGTAACTCTACCTTTCAAGTAAATAAATAAATTTTTTAAAAAATAAAAATACAGCTTGGACATGCTCACTCAGACTTAACCCTTAACGGTAGAGCTAGAAGTGTGCCAGGGGATTCCAATTCAATCCCATCAAGGTGGCATGTGCCATTGCCATCTCACTAGTCAAAGTGATCGGTTTCAATTCATAATTGATCATAATGATAGAATTAAGAGTCAAAGAGATCACATAAACAAGACTAGTGTCTGCTAATAATAACTGATAGAATTAAAAAGGAGAGAACGATCCAACATGGGAAGCGGGATGCACAGCAGACTCATAGAATGGCAGATGTCCTAAACAGCACTCTAGCCTCAGAATCAGCCCTTCAGGCATTTGGATCTGGCTAAAAAGCCCATGAGAGTATTTCAGGCATGGAAAGCCAAGACACTCTGGCAAAAAAAAAAAAAAAAAAACACAACTAAATGAAAGATCTCTGTGAATGAGATCCCAACGGAAAGAACAAACCATCAAAGAAGGAGCTACCTTTCTCTGAAGGGAGGAGAGAACTTCCACTTTGACTATGGCCTTGTCTAAACAAGATCAGAGTTTGTGAACTCAAGAGGCTTCCATAGCCATGGCAGCTCATGACAAGAGCCTCGGCTGATTACTGATGTCATAAATAAGAGTGTTAATTGTTAAATCAATAATGGGAGTCACTGCACCTACTCCCCATGTAGGATCTCTGTCTTTAATGTGTTGTACTATGCGAATTAACGGTAAAACTACTACTCAAACAGTACTTTATACTTTGTGTATCTGTGTGAGTGCAAACTGTTGAAATCTTTACTTAGTATATACTAAGTTGATCTTCTGTATATAAAGATAATTGAAAATGAAAAAATAAAAAATAAGCAATCTAAGCAAAAATTAAATAAAAATAAAAATACATACAGTGGCATCACTATGGTACTGCAGAGAAAAACCTGAATACAGAATTCAGAGGTTATTATGAAACAGAATATGAGGAAAGACAGCTCATTTAGGAGATCCAGCATGGACTCCCTAACTACACAGAGTTTGGAATAAGAATGAAGATTTTCTTCTCCCTGAGTACCTTCCTTGCCATACAGTGTTTTGTCCACTTCCAAGGAAAAAAGTTTAACACAAACTCCAGACATATAAAACGTTCTCAGCTACTTCACTGCAAACACACAAACAGAAACTTCAATTCAGATGATGTGTTTTTAAAAGGCACATATTGTTCTAGCCTCTTGGACCCCCCCCCCCCCCCCCGCCAAGGCCATCTGGAACGTAGTGAGCGGCTGTGCGTGGAGGATGGCTGCTGATCACTCACTTGTTCAAGCAGTGGAAGTCAGGCGTGAGCTGCCACTTTTCGATGGATCCTTTCACAAACCCCGACACCATTATGAAGCCCAGGACCAGGACGTTGATGCAGGTGAATATCTTGTTGACCATGGCTGATTCCTTCACACCAAGGGTCAGGAGTCCTAAAAACACATACAAAAGAGAAAACTGCATGTCAACCACACACCAAGTTAAGTCCGTCGTGGGTTGGGAACAGGGACAAGAAAGGGGCTGAGAAAGAATCCAAGCGGCACTGAACCTCCCGAGACCTCGGGCGTGGGGAGAGGTTTCTGGCAAGTTATCAGAGTTGGCCTCTGGAAGGGAGGATGCCACTAAGGGGCACCCAAGGGCTGCGGAGATCTGGAGCGTGACAGCGGCTCCGGGCAGAGGGTGGAGGGAGCCTCAACCACACACTGAGCTGCTTGCTCTCGGGAGAAGGGCACTGCTGGGAAATGACCTTCTGAAACAAATCCAAGAGGACACACTCTGCTGGGTTTCTTGGTCGAGCGAGAGCTGTTTTTCCAGGAGGAAGTCATTCAGATCAACTTCAGGGGCTTAGCAGTAACAATGATCTGGGGTTTTGGGAACCACTGACCCATACAGCTCCCGGACTCAGTGCATAGAATATCTAAGCCAGACCAGCTCTAGCCTGCCAAGTTCACACTGGGGAGAAACACACACACACACAGTCAAGTGACGAGAAGGCACACATGATAGCACCAGCTTTGAGGCTTAGGCCTCGGGGCCACCTTAGGATGGGCAAGTCCACAGCCAAGTTGTGCTGGGCAAGACAGGAGACAAGGACGGACCCAGGGACAGCTTGACCAACTGTATCATTTGGGACGACGGCCCTACCACGGCTGCCTTTTAGACCTTTTGAGATTAAACCTGCTGTACACGTTAGATTGAATTCTGAAACGCAGGTGTCAGAAGAGAATTCATTAATTAATCACAGGATGAACATCTCATTGCCTTCCAATGTATTTTTTTCTTTAAGTGTCCTTCCCTCTCATGTTCATTAAAATGAAAACCTCACTGTGGTTGTGCAAATTTATTTTCTGATACATGTGTCTGCCAGCTGGACCAGAAATCCTGTTGAGGCCGGCTTGTGGGAAATTATTCCAATTACATGGGGTGTGAAATAAGGCATGCTTTAGAAACTCATCTAAGATTTTCTGACCTCAGACAAGAATGTATCTGCATCTCAGCTTCATGTTTACACAGTTGGTGCACCGTGGAGCAAACCCCCCCCATCCTAGTGGCCAAGACGTGGACAAGTATCACCAATGAGAAGTTGCCAACCTCTGACTTCAAGTAGTACCTGGAACTTAAAAAGTTCTGTAACCACAAGTTGGAGGTGGAAACTATATATGGTAATGGTGTGTGAATGGTTAGTAGGTGTGAAGCACCCGAGATGCCTTGTAATGCCTAGGTACATATTAGAGGTTCAGTAGAAGCCACTCCTTCACATTTTCCTGGCAGGTGAATAACAACTTTCCTCTCCAAATGGTCAACTGTTGAGTCAAAAGAGTTGTTGTTGTTGTTGTTTTTAGCTTAAAAAATGTGTGTGTTTATTTATTTGAGAGACACAGACAAAGAGAGAGGGAGATCTCCCATCGACTAGTTCACTCCCCAAACACCTGCAAAAGCCAGAACTGACTGGCCAGGCTGAAGCCAGGAGCTTCAGTTCAGGTCAAGTCTCCCATGTGGGTGGCAGGGACCCAAGTACTTGAGCCATCACTGCTGCCTTCTCCCAAGGTGTGCATTAGCAGGAAATTGGAATGGGGAGCAGAGCTGAGACTCAAATCCAGGCACATCAATGTGGATGTCCCCAAGCACTGTCTTAAATGCTATACTAAACCCCTACCCTGTAAGGATTTTGGGGCCAATGTTGTGAGACAGCAGGTTAAGCTGCTGCCTGCAGGTATATCACATAAGAGCATGGGTTCCAGTCTCAGCCACTCTGCTTCCAGCCCATCTCTGTTAATGAACCTGGGAAAGCAGAAAATGGCCCAAGTAGTTTGACACTTGCTACCCACATGGGAGACCCAGATAGAACTCCTGGCTCTGGCCTGGCCCAGCCACAGCCATTGAGACCATTTGCAGAGTGAACCAATGGGTGAAAAATCTCTCTCTCTCTCTCTGCCACTCTGCCTTTCAAATAAATAAAATAAGCCTTTCTTTAAAAAAAAATTATTCCTGGATCATCTGTACAAAAAGCCTGTTGTATTAACAAAATCTCAGTTCACAAAAAGACTCAACGTCTACGATTCTCTTTTAACTAAATGGCACATGACTCAATAGGTATAAACAGGCCAAACCTAGCTGAATCTATAAGAAACTTTTAAATAAAAAATTTCTACATGAAAAACTATAAAACAACAAAGAGATGGAGGAGGGATGAAGAGAAAACAAGCACATTTGAAAGGGGAGCCTGTCACAGAAACTGTTTCCATCATTCAACCCGGTCTCCTTGTCGACACGTGGGCTTACCTGTTAAGATGAGAATTATGATCACAGCAAATATGTCGGGGTTTTCGGCCAGCACCCCAGGAGCATTCAGGGCCATGTGCGTCTTTGCAAACTCCCCAATGGGTTTGCCTATCAGCTCATCAAACGTTGCACTCCAGGCCCTCGCTACACTTGAAGCACCTGCCATGAAATACACACGGGGAGGAAACTGGTCAACAGTGCGTTCACTGTCATCACAGGTTGACAGGTAGAGCATCCATGTGGGGATCACAGGCAATACCTTGAAATCTGGCAGTGGTGCCCAGGATAGGGTGAACACTCAGTGGGAAGGGAGGGTCACCTCATGTGGAGAGCGAAGCGAGAAGCATGAGAAGGCTTCCGGGCTCGGGAAAGCAAGGCACCTTATATCATAAGCCCTACGTACCCGCATAATTGCGTGTTTACAAAAGGCTCATGGAAAAGGGAATTAAAGTTTATCTGGTACAAAAACAAAAAAACCTTGAAATCCATGCAGTGTTTTCATAATACACATTTTCCATAAACCTGCAGAAGATCCCCCAGATTTACCTGACTTAACGACATTCCACCTTGCAAGTTTCAGACATCATGGTGATGGGAAAGTGATCCGCCTTCGATAGAAACTGTATCTGGAAATTATGAATTTGGATCTTTCCTGGGCTAGTGCTGTGTTGGCCTGGTCCTCTCAGGTTCTGGGCAGGAGGGACACAATAGCCACTCCACACAGTGCCGTGTGGCTAAGCAGAGATGGGTGGCAGGTTGGGTGGACCCCATGCACTTTCTACTTCTGACTCTTTGAGCTTACCATGGGCATACCTGGACACAGCCCCATCACAAGTTGAGGAGTATCTGCACACATGTTTGCAGTACACAGCACACACAGTGCGAGTGAAGTAAACATTTTACCAAACAACAGTTACGCTTATCACTTGAGACTCACTCTGATGGTACCGACTTAATTCTATCCATTTCACTTCATTAATAAAAAAACCACAGGTAACCATTCATGAACGTGATTTCATAGTGTACTCCCGGGATGCAGTGGGAAGTCTGCAGAAACACTGGGTAGGAAGCCCTTCACCCAGCAGCGCTAGCAACAGGGTGCTCCCTGGAGGAATACTACTCTCGTAGCAAGAAGAGGGGTCCAGGGAGATTGTGAAGGGGCAGACCTCCACCTCAGGGACAAGGCTACCCATTCACAGCAGAGCAGATAACCGGCCACCCTGCCACTCTGTGCATGAATTGGTGCTTGTACCACCTGACTCAGTGGCCACGATGTCACCTCACGTCCCTTGTGCACAGGATCAGAGCTTGACCCTCCCCCCTTTCTCCTTGCACTATAGCTGATTTCTATCTCTCATCTAATTATTTTTTTTTAATAAAAAATTATTTATTTATTTGAAAGGCAGCAACAGAGAGAGAGAAGAGAAACAGAAGGGGAGAGATCTTCCACCTGCTGGCTCATTTTCCAGATGCCTGCAGGGGCCGAGGTTGGGCCAGGCCGAAGCCAGGAGCCCAGAATCCCTCCGGGTCTCCCACATGGGTGCAGGGGCGTAAGCATTTGGGCCATGTTTGCTGCTTTCCCAGGTACATTATTGGGGAGATGGATGGGAAGTGGAGAAGCCAAGACTCAAATCAGCACTCCAATATGGATATGGGATTCTGGTGTCACAAGCAGCACAGTTCCTTCATTTAATTCTGAAAGGAGTCGCTGTTTTTCCAGTGTTGTTTCCCAGCAAATGTCCCTAAATTCCAATACGTACATATGGCATCTTCCTTGATTTTCAAAGGGGGTCTGAATTATCTGGAATTTTGCCAGAGGGATCTGCACACTACAGATTCAATTTTGTTAACATGGTCTCATGCTAAGTGATTTTCCAACAATTTAAAAATTTAATTACATTTCTTTTTCCTGAGCAGCTGATTTATTATAAATTCTATCTATCAAGGGCCACAACACACTGGTCTTCCCACCAATCCCACTGGCGGCTGGCTCCCTGCAAACTGGGGTCTCAGACCTCCCTCTGATGGATGTGAGGGCTGCCTCAGTTTTTCCTCCCAGCCTACCGCCTTCCCACTTCTGAATTATGGCTTTATTAAGAAATGTCCAATAGACGAACAGCTTTTCCCCAGTAGCTAGGACTGAGAATACGTTTTCCTAATACATGCACGAGTCTGAGTCAAACCAATAGCACTCTGGCAAAGAGTCTCACATGCCTTGGTCTAAAAGCAAGCACCTCTTGCTCCGTGTTTTGTTTTCCGGCCTGTTCAGTCCTTGAGAAGCACAACAGGTTCATTCAAAACAGCTCCAGCCTCAATGGGAGCCTGGAGTGTGGATGTTATACTGAAAAAAATACTAGGAATTTTATTTTAGAACTTTGAAGCTATGCTGGCTCTCAGAAGATTACTGCAGAAGCTAAAAAGGAGAGGTCAGACAGCCTGAGTATTAGCCCTCTGCCAGCCAGCCTGGCACAGTAGCAGTAGCATCCCCCAAGGAGAGACGAGGCCATCAAGACCCCAGGAACACGAGAATCCCAGCAAGGAACACAAAGAATCACCTATGAGGTTCCCAGTGTGGGCAGACCAAGAAGTGAGTGGGCACTTGCTACAAAGTTAGATGAATGTTTAATGGTCATGTGGATTTCTACTTTTGGGAGGTGGCCATTCATATCCTTTTTGTATTCTTCTATTTGGGTGTTTGTCTCTTCTAAGCTGATGTGCTCAACTTCAAGGTATAATCAAAACACAAACAGACGGAAAGGTGAAGCATATTCAGCCACCAAACTTTTGGTCCCTTTGCTTGTTGGGTGATTGTGCTTCGTGCCAATGACCAGTGCTGTCACTGTGGAGAACGGAGCCCTGCAGCTTGGGAGGGGATCGCAGTCAACAAAGGCTTCAGAACCACAAGGGGACTTGGAAAATTTCATGGAAAGAAGGAATTAAAAGATAAGTTTACTTTAGTGCAAAATTTGGAACCCCATGCCTCGTTTGTTCGTAATACACATGTCCCGTGACCTTTTTAAAGATCTCTCATATGCATGAATTTCAATTTTGGGGGCCATCAAAATAATCTTTTTTTTTTTTTTTTTTTTTGACAGGCAGAGTGGACAGTGAGAGAGAGAGACAGAGAGAAAGGTCTTCCTTTGCCGTTGGTTCACCCTCCAATGGCCGGCGCGCTGCGGCCGGCGCACCACGCTGATCCGATGGCAGGAGCCAGGTACTTATCCTGGTCTCCCATGGGGTGCAGGGTCCAAGCACTTGGGCCATCCTCCACTGCACTCCCTGGCCACAGCAGAGAGCTGGCCTGGAAGAGGGGCAACCGGGACAGAATCCAGTGCCCCGACCGGGACTAGAACCCGGTGTGCCGGCGCTGCAAGGCGGAGGATCAGCCTAGTGAGCCACGGCGCCGGCCCCAAATTAATCTTTTAATTCCCTCTTCCATGTGATTTTGAAGTACCCTTGTATGCAGATGCACTAATCTAGACTTTCTCTTCTGAAGACAGTTTGAAGGGGAATCACAGACACACCCAGAGATGTAAAGTAATTCACTATCTACAATGACAGCCTAACTGGAAACTATCTGAACATCTCACAGGAACATACAGTACCTCACACTGTGTATCTACATGCACAGAGGCACGCCACCACGGGGAGATGACTATGGCAAAGCAGCTCACGATGACACATATCTACTACAAGGGCATGCACAGCTGAATTCTGTGGAAACTGCAATGGCTTTTTTATAACATGCATTTTCGTGAACTTTTTGAAGCACCCTCCTATATTGCTTTATAAACAATCATACTGTACAAAAATATACATGTATATTCACAAAAGTATTAACAATGGTTATATCCCTAGACAATATACTCTTTATGAACAGAGACTGCCTTATTCTTCTATCGTGTCCCTAATACCCAGTCACACGCCAGGCACAGAATATATGCTCACATAAACTGCTGTGGCCACATACAACACTGGCAACCCATAAAGGAGTGCCAATTTGAGTCCCAGCTACCCTGCTTCCACACCAGCTTTCTGTTGTTGCCTGGAAAGGCAGTGGATGATGGCCCACATGCTTGGGACCCTTCTACCAACGTGGGAAACCTCAATGGAGTTCCTGATTCCAGGCTTTGGTATGGCCCGACCCCAGCTATTATGGCCATCTGGGGAGTAAATCAGCAGATGGAAGACATCTCTGTGTGTGTGTGTGTGTCACTTTGTGTGTGTGTGTCATTTTGCCTATAAATAAATAAATCTTTTAAAAAAATAAGTATTCGGAAGGGTAGAAAGAGATGGAGGGAGGGAGGGAAAGAAGTTGTTTCTCTATCAACTGTTCAGAAAAATCCTATGAGTTCTGCATCTTCTATGCCATGTTAACAAGAATGGCTTCCTTGTGGCCTGGCTTGGCACTTGCACAAGGGCAGAGACAATGAAGCCACAGGCTGCTTCCCCTTCCATTAAGTGACAAAGAGACATTTTCAGCGGTCAAGCCAGAAGGTAGCTCCTGGGGAGGAGGCACCCCCAGTCTCCATGGGGATCAAGGCGCCATGGTCCACCCTCCGGTGATGGCAGCAAACAGTAGGGGGTGGAGTGAGCAAGCCCAGGCTGCTTGGACCTACCGATGATGTAGGAAAGGATCAAGTTCCAGCCGGTGATGAAGGCCCACAGCTCCCCGACTGTGACGTAGCTGTAGAGGTAGGCTGAGCCCGTCTTGGGGACCCGGGCACCAAACTCGCCGTAACACAGGCCAGCCAGCACCGAGGCCAGCGCGGCAATCAGGAAGGAGATGACGATGGCGGGGCCAGCATCCTCGCGGGCCACAGCTCCAGCCAGGACGTAGACGCCTGCACCCAGCGTGCTGCCCACCCCAAGGGCCACCAGGTCGAACGTGTTCAGGCAGCGGGACAGCCGGCTCTCTTCCCGGCTGCAGTCCACCACCTTCCGCCGCAGCATCCGCTGGCCAAAGTTGAGAAGGACCTTGCAGCCCATGGCCCCACTCAGCTCAGACCTGTCACAAAGAAGGAACAGAGACATTTCAGCACCGCCACACACTTCGCCCATGAACCTCAGCTTCAGGCAGAATTAAGTACAGCCGAGTGGGAGGCTCCTTCACAGTCACTTCCTGTTGAGCTGCTTTAATTCTGAGAATCCTACCATCTTTGTCACAACACATGACTTCTCCAGTCGTGTTGTCTTGCCCGCATTTGCAGTAATAACACCCCGGGAAGCCTATTTGCTGAGCTGACTTTACTGCCAGGCCCCTGGGCGTCTATGACTATTCCCAGTCTTAACTGAGAACCTTCCATGGGCAGAAATCATGTAGTGCAGGAAGCTCTAAGGAATGGTTGGTCTCCTTAGCAATCATACCACAGTGCTTCCAGAGGTTCACGGAAAATGGAAGCGAAAGATAAGCTTGCCTTTCCAGGAAATCGATGTACATTTTTTTCATAATATGCATTTTTGTGTTTGAAAGCTCCTTGTATATATGGAGGTCTTCAAAAAATAAAAAGAGTATCATGAAAAAAATCTATGCATGGATTATAATATTTTTTTAAAAATTTAGTTACTGGGATCAGCACTGTGGCATAGCATGTAAAACCACCACCTGCAGTACCAGTAGCCCTTATGGGTGCAGGTTTGAGTCCCAGCTGCTCCACTTCCAATCTGGCTCTTTGCTATGGCCTGGGAAAGCAGTAGAAGATGGCCCAAGTCCTTGGGTCCCTGCATCCGTGTGGGAGACCTGGAAGCTCCTGGCTCCTGGCCTTGTATTGACCCAGCTCTGGCTATTATGGCCATTTGGGGCATGAACCAAAGGATGGAAGACCTTTCTCTCACTCTCTCTCTCTCGCTCCTTCTGCCTCTGCCACTCTGTAACTCTCTGCCTTTCAAATAAATAAATAAATCTTTTAAAAATAATATTTAGTCACTTATTTAAAAGAGTTACAGAAAAAGAGGGAGAAAAAGAGACAGGGAGAGAGGGATTTTTAAGAGACAGATCTTTCATCCACTGGTTCACTCCCCAAATGGCTGCAATGACCAGGGCTGGGCCAGGCTGAAGCCAGCAGCTTCTTCCAGGACTCCTGCTTGAATAGCAGGTGCCCAAGCACTTGGGGCATCTTCCACTGCTTTTCCCAGGCCACAAGCAGGAAGCTGGATGGCAAGAGGAGCAGTCAGGACACAAATTGGTGTCCATATGGGATGCCAGCCTCGCAGGTAATGGCTTTTATCCACTGCGTCACAATGCTGGTCCCTGACTTACAATTTTTTACAACAAAATTAACTTAACAGCACATTTCCCATGAACTTACTGAAGTACTTTTGTACAATTTACCAGGAAAAAATGATATTATTTCAAGTATACTCTAATGGAAGACAAACCAAACCATATCTCAATTTAATTATTAAATCTCCAAGGCCTTTAATGACAGTGACAATGCTTTTCAGATTTTTCTCGGATCCTCTGAGGACACGGATCAAGCTATTTCCACTTCTACATCAACACAGCTAGGTCTAGAACAGAAAACTACTAAATTATTGTTAAGCCAGGGCTTTTGTAACCGGCACTATTCCAGGAGATGCTTTTTGCTGAACCAAAATGTCAGCTGTGGATATTGGGCTGGTTGACTGCAGGTGTTAAGTTGATTGTGTGAAGGAGTACTCAGACAGCTTTTAAGCATTCTGTTCCCAGGAGAGACTGACATTTGAACCAGTGGACCGAGTGAGGAAGAGGCACCCTCCCCCACCACAGGTGGGCACCAGCCAGTCGGCCAAGGGCCCAGACAGAACACGAAGGAGTAGAACCACACATTTATGGCTCTCCAGCCCGTGTGCCAGCCTCCCTGGCTCTGAGACCTCTGGACTTGGGCTGAGCCACACGACTGGCTTCCCCACGTCGCCTCCATCATCATGCAAGCCACTTCCCTGTTAAGTATCTGCACACAGGTTGAACATTCCTAACCTGAAAATCTGAAATGTTCCAAAATGCTGAACCATTTTCAGCATTGCATCAGTGTTGTCCTGAGTGTCATGTTGACAGCGTTGATGCAGACATTTCAAAATGGGAAAAATCCTGAAATCTGAAATATTTCTGGCTCCAAGGGTTTCAGATAAGAGATGTTCAACCTGCCTGTGTGTCCATGTCTGTGTGTGTATCTGCTTTTCAAATAGATAAAATAAACTTTTTTTAACTAACAAGAGAAACCGGGTGTGAGATATATGGGTGTGAGGTAACTCTAGCTTCATCATTTGTCTGTAAGTCTAGAACTATTCTTGAGTAGTTTACTTTTTTAAAAAATTGCCAACCTAACAAGCACTTTTGGCTACTGAGGCCACCCCCCTCATCATCAATTTTCTTTTTGTCATCAACTGATACTCCATTGACCTTACTTAGCTACAGTTAAGCCATAGGAAAACAAAAACATTCTCAACGGACATCACAGGTCTAGAAAAATCCACACGTCATCATGTGACCGCTCCTCCGCCTGCCCACCCCTCCACACAGGCCCAGGCCTCAGGGGCTCAGGCCCTCTCTGTGCAGGATGCGCAGGCGCAGTGGGTGGTCCTTTCTGTGTGCTGACAAGGCCGAGAGAAGGGCACAGTCTTGAGACAAGATGGGGAATCCCTCGTTGTGCACCTGAGGAAAAGGGCTCAGAGAGCTGCGCATGCGCAGGCGGCAGGCTCCAGGAAGGAAACGTTCTCCTGGACAGCAGATGGGGCAAGGAGCAGAGGGAACCAGAGGAAATGAGGGAGACGGTGCTATTTGTGGGACAGCAGTGCAGTGACAAAATCGCAGGCAGCGGACTTGGCTGAGATGCGGCGAAGAGGTCAGTGGCTTTGCGGGGTGTTTCCTGTGATACCCAGGGCTGTTGCTCAAAGGGCCGGGGCCCAGAGCCGGCTGAGTTATTTCAGCAAGGCAGGCGGTGAGGCCGGGGAGAAGCATGGCTTCGGGGCTTCTGGAAGGCACAGGGAGCCAGGCCCTGCTGCAGCTGCACACCACGGCCCTGGAGGGCTCCAGCGCTCTCCAACGGAACCCGGGCTTATTCCTCCCAGAATGGTCTTTTGCTTTTCTTTCTTACAGAATTTAGCCTGGTTTATTCAAGTGGCATTGCACACCACAACGCAGTGACTGGTGAACGGGAAGATGCAAAGGCTGTGCGGGGGTGCAGTGGGGACGTCTCAACATCCCACGCTGGGCGAGGATAGTGTGTAAAGGGCACAGGAGCCTTGCAGGGAGGCAGGTGTGACAGCTCCGCTCCTGCTCAGGCTGATTTCAATCTGGTTGGTAAATGTCACTGCTGATACGCTGACAGACGGACAGTGCCTGTCCGCTCCTCTCCTCTCCCAGGCTCAGCTTCTGGTTAAAAATGAGCAGGTTATCCTCCTCAAAACACTGAAAGCCAAGTGCAAGCTAGAGGCAATGCCACTCCATTGCACCTTCCTTCCTAGGCTGCACTGAGCCCAGTGACGAGGGGCCCAGGAGATGAGGGGTCTGAGCCTCGCTCTGTGGCAGAGCTCGTCTGTGGTCAGCTTGCCTCTCCCAAAAGGGTCCTATTGTCCTAGGCAGGACCAAAACTGTAAGACCGACCACACCGGGATCCCTGGCAAGGGGTACGCTGGCACCCAGACGGGCCCTGGGGATCATCTGAGTGTCCTCAGAACAGAAGGTGCATGTGGACCCCATGACCTCACAGATGCAGTGTGTGTCACACACACTCACACACTCACACACACACATTATCATCATGCATGGCACCTGCCAGAACAAAGCAAGCTCACTCCAAGAACAGACTTATGTTGGCGGGACCCCAGCATCACCTTCAAAATGAAGGGGACAGGTTTTTGTTAAGTAAGAGAAATTTAGACTCAGGTACTGGTTTTCAAACTTAAAGGGAAAGAGGATTCCTACGTGAGACCATCCTGACTATACAGATGCGATTCATGCCTCCTTGAAGAGGCTCAATTGCTTCAGAACAGGTCTTGGCCCTTTGGAAGTTCTCTGCGTATCGACAGGAGTGGCCAGAGCAGAGACCCCAACTAAAGCAGAACTTAAGCGTTGCTTGCTATCTGGGGAAAGGCCACACTCGATAATTTTGGATAACAATGGAGCAAAAATGCAGCCAGTTTCTGCTGGCGTGCCCAGGGCTGAAAATCTGGGTATCATAGATGTCTCAAGTTGGGGGCTCACTCCTACTTCCCAGGTGAGGAACAAAGAAGACACTTGCTAACTATGTCAGGGGTTTATTTGAAGAAATCGCTGTTCTGTGTCCTTGGAAGTTCTGCAGAGTCCTGTTCTCCGCAGGGCGTTGTCTATCAGCACTTTGCCCACATTACGGCATCACTCACCTTCATCCAGGACTCCAAGACAACAGCAAGACGAGAGGAAGCTTCTCTACACAGGACTAATCTAATCTTTCCAGTCCCAGCAGTGTCAGACTGACACAGACTTCCTGCTGTTGGGGTCTACACAGAAAGCTGCCAGAATACTTTAACAGTATCATCTGAGGCCCAGCATTAGGGACAGTAGGTTAAGCCATGTTTTTTTGGTGCCAGCATCCCATATGGGTGCCGGTTCAAGTCCTGGCTGCTCCACTTCCGATCCAGCTCCCTGTTAATGTGCCTGGGAAAGCAGCAAAGGATAGCTCAAGTACTTGGGCCGCTGCCACTCATGTGTGAGACCCAGATGGACCTCCTGGCTCCTGGCTTTGGCCTGGCTCAGCCCTGGCTGTTGTGGCCATTAGGGGAGTGAACCAGCAGATGGAAGATATATCTTTCTCTCTGTCTCTCCCTCTTCTTCTCTGTAACTCTGCCTTTTAAATAAACAAGATAAATCTTTTTTTTTTTTTTTTTTTGACAGGCAGAGTTAGACAGTGAGAGGGAGAGACAGAGAGAAAGGTCTTCCTTTTCCTGTTGGTTCACCCCCCAAGTGGCCGCTACGGCTGGCGCGTTGCGGCCGGTGCACTGCGGCCGACGCGCTGTGCCAATCTGAAGCCAGGAGCCAGGTGCTTCCTC